CGGTCGAACTTAGACGCAGCAGAAAACAAATTCTTTTCAAAATCGAAATGTTTATTATTATTTTTATTAATCGAAACACGAAAAGTATTAGTAAGATTTTGCCGATCTATGAATATGGATCGGGAGCGTATGAAATAATAATAATATAGATATCTGACATTAATGTTTGCAGAGTGTTCGAGGGTGAAAGTCTCCATTAAGACATGGTTATAATTAACCTTTTTTCTAATTTCCACTTCATAGATCGAAAAATTCGATCTACTACGACCATATGTCTAGAGAGGGTATATATCATTTGATACGTTCAAAACGTGCCTAGTCGAAATAACGGTTTTAGACCCTAGGTCTCTTTATACCACATCCGTTTCAGGACATTTGGCGTCGACTTAGCGATGACCGTTCGTCTGTCTGGCTGGTTGGTGCGCACGATAACTCTCGAAGGGAGTATCTGATTTCGTTTAAACTTGGAATCTCGTGTTATTATTATCAAAATTGGATCGAGTTCGGAGATTGGCAATATCGGTCCACTCCTTCTGGTACCTTCCACACAACAACAACATTTTCAAATAACATATTTTACTGCACAGAAAGGGGAAGGATAATCCGATATTGCTCAAACTTTGCAAATTCTAATCTTTCCATCAGTGCTATGTCTGGCGGTTCTCTCCGTCGAGTACCTCTACCACAAAAGGGTCAAAATTTTGAATAATTACAACTCTTATAAAATGTGATGTAAGGATCCAATCTTCTTAAAATTTCACACATCCCAATATTTTAATTAACCCAAGGTCTGGTGTTAATTTGGGATATATATTGGTTTACTCCTCCCCCACAAGTGCCAAAATTTTGAATATCCATTAAGCTCTTAAAAGGAAAAATTAAAATCCAATTCCATTCAGAATTGGTACAATCAATGTTTCTATTAACACAAAATCTGTTACAAGGATGATAGAGATCGGAACATTCCTTGTGGTACCCCCAAAAAGGTTAAAGTTTTGAATAACCAAATCCATCATAACATCCGAAATAAGCATCCAGTTCTCTTCATATTTCACACATCCTATTATTTCTACTAACACAAAATCTGCTATCAAGATGGGATGCATAGGTTTACTCCTTCTTGTACCTTCCCCATCAAGGGTAAACATTTTGAATATCCATGAAGCTCACAAAACGTAAAATTAAGATGCGATTCCTTTCAGACTTGCCACATCTTAATATTTCTATAAATACAAGATCTTATGGTACATATCGGACCATTTCTCCTGGTACCTGCTCAATATAGCGTTCACGATTTTTGAAAAAAAAATGCTCCAAAAATTGCACATATCTCACATAAGGTATAGGAAATAGTCGATATAGTCCAAATCTGGCACGTTGTAATATTTTTATCAGCCTTAGGTCAGATACGAATTGCTGAATATTGTCCAACTGCTTCGTAATAATCATAATTCAAGGCTGGGGGTATAAATCTGTTGGCAAAAACGACTGATACTTTTTAACTTGTTTTTCTCCATCTTTAATACTGCTATGTAGGTGAAAAGTGAACGTTTTCCGTACTATGAAGAAACAACTGGTGTCTAGATATGCAATAAGGCTGTAGATTTTTTGAATATGGACCTCCGAACTATTTCTTAGTACAGAATATTTTAGGATTAGTGTCACGTGGACAGCGTTCGATTAAGCATGAGAGTCACAATTTGTGCGTGGAAGAAAAAAAAAAGATTTTTAGCAATCTACGCCATATGGATACGGAAAGTACTAAATTATACAAAATAGTGTTGAATTTTTATTCGGAGAAAAGTGGAAGCAAAAATTGAGTCACATGAGAATTTAATGAGGGTTGGTTTTTAAAATGAGTACTATTAAGGTACGAAAAGTACGATATTGTAGTACATTTTTGTACCATAAGGATATAAACAAGTAAAAAGCTGTAAGTTCGGCCGGGCCGAACTTTGAACACCCTCCACCATTTGGTAAAAATTTTGCAATTTTCAAAAAAATAATATCCGTTAAAAATTCTGTTAAAATCTTAAAAATATCGAATGTAGCCGTATATTAGGGTCTATAACACGACGTGGACCTGCATAGGCAAATTTTTGTCACAAGCTATTACAATATTCTAATGCGAAACTTGAAAAAAAATCTGTTTATAATGTTGCTAAAATCATCATAATAACGGATATAGGGAGGTACCATGGGGGTTATAAAACGTGGACCTGCACAGACAATTTTCTGTCATAGGATGTAGTATCCATTACTAAATTAAAATACCAAATTTGAAACAATTCCGGTCAATAATGTCTCTAAAATCGTCAAAATAACCAATATCGGGATGTACCGTTATATGGGGGCTATACGAAGACGTAGGCATACATGTCTGTCTTAGGATGTAGTATCCATTACGAACTTCAAATACCAAATTTGAGACAACTCTGGTAAGTAATGTCGCTAAAATCATCAAAATACCGAATCTCGGGAGGTTCCGTTACATGGGGGCTATACGAAGACGTAGACCGACCTGGCCAATTTTAAATATCAAAAGTCCTGCAGACATAATACACATTTGAGTAAAATTTTATCAGCCTACTTCATTTCGTTTGGAAGTTAGAGTGATTTCCACAGACGGACGGACATTGCTAAATCGACATAGAATTTTATGCTAATCAAGAATATATATACTGTGTGGGGTCTAAAATGTATATTTCGAGGTATTACAAACGGAATGACAAACTTATTATACCCTCCATACTATAGTGGGGGGTATAAAAATACCAAATTGAAGGAAGTAATGTCTTCTATGATTTCTGATAAGGGCTGAAGTCAAGTCAGTATAAGGCATGTGTATCTAATAAGGCATGCCATTTCAAGTACGTACTACTAAAATACAAAAAGCCCAATATTGTATGAAATATCTCAAAGTGAAGTAATTTGCATCATTATTCCGCTCAATATACCAGGCCACATAGAATACAGGCGCTAAATATTTTGCCAACCAGTTTGTACTGCAACAAATAGTCTTCAATGTGAAATGGTTGCTATCTAAAAGTAGAACCTAGCTTTTGGGTTTTTTAAGCAACCCAATTTGACTTCTATTCAAATTGCCCCGTGGTGCAGATAATGAAACATGACAATCTTAATGCCGATGTAATTATTTTTTATTTTTTATTTCATAACAATTGTCGGGTTACTAATTTCTGCCGTTCCATTAAGAAAATCTCCTTTTTAATGTTTTCTGCCTGAAATATGCTCCACATAGAGAATTTTTAAATATCTTATATTTTGATATTTATACCCTACACCACAAGGTGGTCAGGGTATTATGTCTTTGTGCATTTGTTTGTAACAGGCAAAAGGAAACGAGATAGACCCATAGTTCCTTTTGATGATCTGCATAGAATCACATTCTGAGTCGATTTATGTCCGTCCGTCTGTCCGTCTGTCCGTCTGTCCATGTATTTTTGTAAACAAAGTACAGTTCGCATTTATTGCCCTATCCAGATGAAATTTTGCACAAATCATTTGTTTGGTGCAAGGACGAACCCTATTGAAATTGGAGATAATCAGTCAAAATTTAGATATAGCTCCCATATATATCTTCGCCCGAATTGCCTTTTATTGTGCACCAAACGTGTAATAAGAATTTTGCACGTACGATCAGATTGCACCTGAAAATAAGTATGTCAAATTTGATCGAAATCGGTTCAGATATAGCTATAGCTCCCATATATATTGTTCATCCGATTTGTTATTTTTGTCCTCCGCAGCCGTAATATGCACTCTGTAACAACAATATTTGGGGAAATATATCAAATACAGCTCAGAAATACATTTGCTAAATTTTATCGAGATCGGTCCATATTTGGATATAGCTCCCATATATAACTTCGTCCGATTTAACTTTGATTGTGCACCAAACGTCTAATATTTGGGATGACATTTAGCACCGAATTGAGTCTAGAAGCTAGTATGTCAAATTTGGTGAAGATCGGTTCAGATATAGCTATAGTTCCCATATATACTGTTCATGCGATTTGTTATATTTGTTACCCACAGCCGTAATATGCACTCCATAACAACGATCTTCAGGGAAATATATCAAATACAGCTCAGAAATATCTTTGCCAAATTTTATCGAGATCGGTTCCGATTTGGATATAGCTCCCATATATATTTTTATTCGATTTCAAATTAATTGTGCACCAAATGGCCAATACAAGTCTGAATTTAAAAGATAGAAATGCTTCGGCATATTTAGTCCTTTGAACTTTAAATTATAATTATAATCATAGCGTGTATGATTGAATTTTCCCATAGAAACTTTTAATTGTTATGCGGAGCTCTACTAAATAAGCAAAGTGATGTAGGGTATCATAAAGTTGGCCCCTCCCGACTTTAAGACTTTCTTTACTGGTTTTTCTTGAGTTTTAAAGGCATAACATTTCGGTCCTCCTGAATTTAACATCATTCTTACATGTAATCAATGCAATCTACACCGAAAAAATACCGAAACGTCTTACTCATATATATGCAAACGTCTTCCTTCACATCCTCCCTCAAATCAGTGCGAGTGTGTGCCTCCTTCAATTCCTTTGTTAAAGACTCGCATTGAAACGGAAGTAGCTTTGATTGCTAAGTAAATTAAGCCAAAATTGATGGCAATAGAATAACAAATCACCCAAAGAGTGGACGATAACAAAAAAACAATGGCGAAATAAATTATGGTAATTGAATGAAAGGCAAGCCATCACGCACATACTTGCAGACGCACACATACACCTCACACACACACACACCGACTGCCAAACACCCAATCAATTTGTCAATCCCTGCATAAGAAATCGCTTCCTCAAGTGGTCTCATTAAAATACATGACTTTCATTTAGTCGAGAGAATCGATAAATACGCCAGCAGATAATCATAATTAAGATGGTAATGAAACACTTTTTTTCTCTTTTCTTCTTTCCCCGTCCTCTTCTTTTCGTTTTCGTTTAGTTAATTGTCTGCCTTTCAACGACAGTTCAGGCAGCGAAAATACTCAATGCCAGTGAAGCCTTTGACAATACCTGGAGTACGGCCACCGATTTGGAAAATGAGCTGGAGGTAAGTTGTATTGCAAGCGGGAATTAATGTTTAAAAAATATAATTATTATAATTTGTGGTTTTGAACGACTCCGTGTTTTCGTGCAGTGTGTCTCGTCACAGCAGAAACGTTCGGTAAAAGGCAGCAGTTCCAGTAGTGGCGGCAGCAGTAGTGGTTCGGGAAATTCTGGCGGCTCTGGTGGTTGGACCACCTGGTCCGAATGGTCGACCTGCTCACGAACATGTGATGGCGGTGTTATGCAACAAATACGCCGCTGTCAAAACGCCAATGGTTGCAAGGGTGACAGTGTGCGTTATCGCATTTGCAATATGCAGCCGTGTCCAGAGAAAATTGATTTCAGGGCGCAACAATGTGCGGCCAATAATGATGTGCCCTATGATGGAACTCTGTATAAATGGACACCGCATTATGATTATGTGGAGCCGTGTGCCCTGACATGCAGGTGAGTTTGAGAAGATTAAAAATAAATAAAAATTAGAGTAAATAAAATAGAAAGCAAATTTGATAATAAAAAAAAGGAAAATGATAAAATCGGTATGATTTTAAAGTAACTAATTGAACACCATGTGGCGTATACGTTATTTAGCACTTATACGCCCTCTTACTGGCAACCTAATAATAACTCTTCTTCTGCACCCTTCGATTATGTCGAAAACTGAAATCGAAAATATGAAATATGTTCTGTGGTTTATGCATACGATGGCACTCTGCTTATGCAATTATTATTTGTTTTTCTCTTTCTGTTTTTTTATTCTGTTGGCTGTCAACATTGGAAAAAGATACATCTTCTGATAGTCCATAAATCCTTTATTGTCATACAACAACAAAACATATTTCATAACAATGTTCATATTTGGTTAAAGTATCAGCAATTTTTGCGAGGCAACAGATTTAAATATTCACAACTGAAATTGTTAATTATTTATTTCAATATATAGTTTTTTTTTTTTGCCTCCATCATACACAGTATGGAGGATATATAAAGTTCGTCATTCCGTTTGTAACTTACGAAATGGTAATTTTAGATATTACATATATATATTCTTGATCAGTGTAAAATTCTAAGACGATTTGGTCCTGTCCATCTGTCCGTCTGTCTTTTCTAATCACTCTAGAGTCAAAACGAATAAAGATAAGAAGCTAAAATTTGGAACACATCAGTCTATTGTCTGCAGGCAGGCCAAGTTCGAAGATGGGCTCTATTAGTTCACGATATCGTAAAGCCCCCCGATGTTAGGTATTTTGATGATTGCAGCCAATTTTTTCAAAGATTGACTGAAAATCCACGAAAGGAGTTTCTTCTGAGTACTTTACCCCCAGGAGGAATATTGTATGTATAGGTCGTATATCCTTAATATAACGGTAACCCCCCCACCCCCCACACTCGGTATTTTGATGATCTTAACTACATTTGTCAATTGAATCATCTAAAAATCCTTACTAGAAGTTCTTTCTAGGCGCTTTACCCCCTGGTCCACTATAACGTATAGCCCATGTACCACGGTGCCTCCCACTATTCGGTATTTTGATTATGTTAGCGACATTATTCACCAAAGTTGTTTCAAATGTCGTATTTATTGTTCGCAATGAGTATATATATCCAGTGTTTTGATGATTTTAACTACATTATTCCCCAATTTTTTTCCAAGTTTCGCATTTGCATATTGTAATGACTTATGACAAAAGTTGTGTATGCAGGCCCACCTCTTCGTATAGGCCCCGAATATAACGGTATTTTTAAGATTTTTTCATACCCTCCACCATACATAGTATGGAGGGTATATTCAACATTCCGTTTGTAACTCATCGAAATAATCATTTTAGACCCAACAAAGTATATATATTCTTGATCCGTCTGTTGTAATCACGCTGCAGTCTAAACGAATTAAGATAGGAAGCTAAAATTTTGCACAGATCTTTTTTTTTGTCTGCGGGCAGGTCAAGTTCGAAGATGGGCTATATCGGTCCACGATATCGTATAACGGTACCCTCCGATATTCGGTATTTTGATGATTTCACCCACATTTTTCAACGGAATTGTCTGAAAATCCACACAAGGAGTTCCATGTGGGCACTTCATTCCTCGGAAGAGAATTATTATACAGGTCCACGATATCGAATAGTCCTCATATAACGGTACCCCCGATATTCGGTATTTTGATGATTTTATCCACAGTTTTCAATTGAATTATCTGAAATTCCATACAAGGAGTCCCTTATGGGTATTTCACCCCCTGAAAAAGAATTGTCTATATAGGTCCACGATATCGTATATCCACCATATAACGGTACCCCCCGATATTCGGTATTTTGATGATTTTAGCCACATTTTTCAACTGAATTGTCTAATAATCCACACAAGGAGTTCCTTGTGGGTACTTTATCCCTTGGAAGAGAATTATCGATATAGGTCCACGATATCGTATAGCCTCAATATAACGGTATCCCTCGATATTTGGTATTTTGATGAAGTCAGCCACACTTTTCAATGGAATTGTCTGAAATTCCACACAAGGCGTTCTTTGTGAGCACTTTACCCACTGACAAAGAGTTCTCTATATAGGTTAACGATATCGTACAGACCCCATATAACGGTACCCCCCAGTATTCGGTATTTTGATAATTTTAGCTATATTTTCCAATGGTATTCTCTGAAAATCCACACAAGAAGTTCTTTGTAAGCACTTTAATCCCTGAAAGGGATTTGTCTATATAGGTCCACAATATCGTATACCCCCCATATAACGGTACTCCCGATATTCGGGATTTTGATGATTTTAGCCATATTTCCCAATGGAATTATCCACACAAGGAGTTCCTTGTGAGTACTTTATATTGTCTATATAGGTCCACAATAGCGTATATCCCCCCATATAACGGCACCATCCGATATTAGGTATTTTAAAGATTTTGAACAGAATTTTCAATGGATTTTATTTTCTTGAAAATTTTCTAATTCGTTCCAAATGGTGGAGGGTATTTAAAGTTCAGCCCGGCCTAACTTACTGCTTTTTTACTTGTTTTTTTTTTTTTTTTTTTAATTTCCAAATTCGTTCCAAATGGGTTAGGTACTTTTTAGTTTAGTTAGTATATTTTTTTTGCAGTACAGAATAGTTTTCATATTTTTTAAAAAATGTATGTCCTTTGAAGTCCTTTATTAGGCTTTGATACGAAAATGAAATTCTTTAAATTAGAAAGGTTCGTTGGTGGCAGCTTTATCGAATGGTGGACTTATACTGAAGTGTTTTGGTGAAGCGAGATTTTATCTATTGAAAACTGAAATAATTCTGTATTTGACTGATTCGTTAAAAAAATGCCAAAGTTCTCCTAAATTGGCGCTATATCAAAATAAGGACCCATGAAGACAGTTCTATTCAAAATAACGTTTCTATCCTTTTGGAACACAAAATGACAATTCGCAACAGATTCGGTGGAAAAATGTAGCTGAATAACCGAAAATAGCTTAAATAGGGAGGTACTGATATTTGAAATCTATACCACAACTTGGACCAATAATGTCCATTTGTAATACCCAAACCTCTAGGGACTCGTAATATATTTTAAATAAATAAATAAATTTCATAATTTTAAATAAAGTTTTTGTGTAAGTACTTCAAATTATTTAAAACCAAGATATATATCTACCTATGGACTGAAAGATCGATGGAAAAATAAAAAAATCCATTTTTATATTTTTGAAATCAAATGAATGATAAGGAAATTCGGTGCGGTTTCTAGTCATCAACGAGTATTAAAGATAATGACATCAATCCATATGTATCGCCCACATTCTAATTTTGTATCCTTTATTCAAATGCACACGTAAATATTATTTCTTTTAAATAATAATCATATATTTGTTATCTTTTTGTCTTTTTTAACAGGGGTCGACCTGCCCACTTGGCTGACGATGAATCGTCGGAACCCACCGCAGATGACAGTGAACACTATGATGAATTGAGTGTGGTGGTGCAATTAAGTCCACGTGTCCTGGATGGGACACGTTGTCGGTCGGGTAGCCTCGATATGTGTATACAGGGCAAATGTCAGGTAAGTGTAGCCGAAAACTAGTGGCAAGCACCCTGAGTTTTGCCATACTCGCTTGCGATGGTGAGAGTGTGGGGCATTTGTATTCGTGACATTTTAGACAAATCACCGACAGCAAACAAACAATTTGCCAATAATTTGCATTTTTTATTTTCCCAAAGGAGGGTAAGAAACACATTAGACGGGGTAGATTCGCTTCGTTTCAACTGTTTGTCCCAAATTATGAAAAAAGTAATTTTTATAAAGTTTTTTTTTTTTTGTATTACGGCAAGCATTTCAGTCGAGATGCCATTATTCATTTTATGTCATACTTTGATGTATTTTTTTGTTTTTGTTGTGGCTGTGATTTTATATTTTTCAAACAAATTCCGGATACAGATTGTCTTCATGTGGTTTCATCGTAGTCGTTGTTATTGTTGTATTAGCTAGGATTCCTTGTCTGTGTGTCAGTTGGGTAGGAGGCCGTTGTTTATTGCCTTATTTGTTTTATCACAAATCACTTCCGTTGCTGGTGTACGTCTGTGTTCATGGGTGTTTGTATTGGTGTGCTCCATTTCAGAGTAATAAATGCCAATATGTCGTTTTGTGGTTTTACTCGAATACTTCACCAGGATATTTCCTTTGCTCTGCTTTGTCTGTCTGTCTGCCTGGCAATGAGTTGCCGTGTTCGTTCGTTTACATTTGTTTTGATCATATTTCAAACTGTTGGGTTATGGGGTGTCGCGTTGAAGGGTCTCTACGCCATAGGTTTTTATGATCAATTGTTTTAGATTTTTTTGTTCTTTAGCAAAAAAACACAAACAGAAGACAATTAAATGGGGAAGGGTTTGTGGGGTTATTGGATTGATTACCGCTGCAGGGTTGATTGTGGTGGCGGTGACTATACGTTTTTTTTAACTAACAGCTATAATTATATGAATGCTTGAACACTAAACGGTGGCACCGATTTCCAGTGAATTTTATTTGAATAACATTATATAATTCATTTTGAAAGTTAATTCTCACTCATAAACATTTTTATATCCTCAGAGGGTATAGTGTACTGGATACGACCTCAATGTTTAAATAGCGGTTTCTTTGGACAAAATTCGTTGGTGACATTCAGAGCCGAACTAGCCATGTCTGTCTGTTAGTTCGTCCGTGTGTCTGTATGGCCAAAGGTGGGCAATATCGACTCTTTCCTTTTAACATTTCCCTCTAAAAAAAAATAATAAAAAAATTTAGTTGGTATTTAAGAATATTTTAAATAAAGTCTTCCCCTGCAAAAACAATGCATTTAGTAGAATAGTGTCTCAAGGACTTTAAACAAATCCCGTGATTTTATAAGAACATTTATCAAGGACTTCCTGCCAATGAAAAAACGCGGAAAATGTCACAGATTTTCTAGAATAAATTTAAGATTTCCTGTTTAGAATTCTAATTTTTCAAGGACCTCTTATAATTCGAGGACATAATTTAACAAGTAAAGAAGCAGCTAAGTTCGGCCGAGAAGAACTTTTAATACCCTCTACCATTTAAAAGGAACTTGAAAAAATAAAAAAACGCAAAATACCGTTAAAATTATGACCTTTATACGAGGGCTATACGAAGACGTACGCTACAAAAACCCTACAAAGTATATATAGAATCAGGATCAGCGTAAAATTCTAAGATGATCTAGCGATGTCCGTCTGTTTGTCCATCTGTTGTAATCACGTTATCTTTCAAACGAATTGAGATAAAAGGCTAAAATTTTGCATATATGTATAGTTTACCAGTAGGTAGGCTAAATTCGTAAATGGGCCATGTCGGTCCACATTTTCGTATAGCCCCCATATAACACTACCTCCCAATATTCGTTATTTTCATGATTTTAGCGTCATTATTTACCGGAATTATTTCACATTTAAAGTTCGTAATGGGAACTACAGTCTATGACAGAAAATTGTCTATGCAGGTCCAGGTTTTCGTATAGGCCACATATATCAGTACCTCCTTATATTCGGTATTTTGACGATTTAAGGTACAATACTTACCGAAATTGTTTGAGTTGTCGTATTTGAAGTTCGTAATGAATGCTACAGCCTGTGACAGAAAATTGTCTATGCAAGTCCAGGTCTTCGTATAGCTCCGATATAACGGTACCTCCTCATATACGGTATATTGGTGATTTTTGCAACATTATTCAACGTTTATTTTAAGTTTCAAATTTGAATATGGTAATGGCTTATGACAAACAATGCCTATGTAGGTTCACGTCGTATAGAATCAATATAACGGCTATATTCGGCATTTTTAAGAGTTTTACAGAATTTTTATCGGATTTTTGAAAATTTCCAAATGGTAGAGGGTATTCAAAGTTCGGCCCGGACGAACTTACTGCTTTTTAACTTTAACTTGTTTTTTTTTTTTTTTTTTTTTTTTTTTTTTGAAAGTCTACCTGCCAGAATTCGAAGGAAATTCCGGTCAAAAATCCGGCTGATATATATAAAAATATTTATAATGGGTTCATGGTCAAAAATTGTGAATTTTTTTTAATGATTTCATTAAGTTCATCCCGGTCAAAAATCTCTAGCAGGTCTTCTTAAGGTCTTTTTTAATGAAAGGAGGATATTTTATTTTTCTAGGTCTTACTAGCAAAAATCTTGGAAAAAATCATGTCTGTTTCACATACTTTCTGTAAATTAGTCATTTGAAAAATTAAAAAAAAAATTAAAATTAAAAATTAAATTAAAATTATTTTTTTTTTTTTTTTTTTTCAAGGGCATCGGTCAAAGAATTAAGAACATTTTTTTTAGAACTTCCAGGGAAAAACGTGATAAAATCATGGATCTTTTACAACATGTTTAAGATTTATGTGGCAAAATCGAGTTGTTGTAAGTTATTTCTTAAAAAATATAGATGCAAAAAAATGGACGATTTTGAAAAAAAAAAATCTTAGGGCTTCCTGGATAAAAATAAAGAATTTTTTTTTTTTTTTTTTTTGTGAAAAATACTTATTCAACTTCATCCTGGCAGATCGATCAAATTATAAAGGATAATCTGCAAAATTTTTAATTGCAATAATTTGAAAACCCACAGAGCCAGAAATACTAACAAGAGTTGTTTTATGATCCAAAAATTTTGACAATAACTTCAAAATCAAAGGGAAAAAATTGATAATGGCCATGTAACTCTATCTAGTTAAGAAATTCATTCACTAGTATTGGAGACTATAAGCAGTAGTTTATAAAAATATTTATTTCAAGGCCTTAAGAAACCAAAGCAATAAAAACGCATACTAAGTTCCCTTTATCGTCTAAAAATATCCACTGTAACTTCTAACTAAAAAGATTAAAGACCAGTAACTAAAGACAACACAACTCCATCTAGTTGTGAAACTTAGACACAAGTATTAGCAACGATTTGCACATACAACCTGTTCTTGGATTTACTCTGTCTATGACATATATTATAATCATAAGATCTGTAGAAATCTATGTTAAATTTCAAGTCTCTAGGTCCCAGGTTCATTATAAACCATCCACGAGTCGATATTATCAATTATTTTATATTTCAGTATGATATTCTCTACAAAACTTCAACCATAATATAATTTTCTGAAACACGTCTCCTAATATACCGCCCTAGGGCTATTTGGCCTACCATTTGTAAAGAACATAGCATATCCCTCCCCTGTAGCTCCAACATTGAAAAGTATAGCATATTCTTAGGCTTTTTTTATTTCGGCGTGTCACTAATACTGTGATTATCATTTTTGATTTATTGCACCAAAGATGTCACCATTTGCTAAGGAAATCGTTTTTATGGTTGCTTGTTTGTTCTTTCGTTGCTTCGTTCATTCGTTCGTACGTCCGTTTGTTTGTTTGTTCTGCTCTTCTTTGTCTGCCGTTGCTGCGACTTTTTGGCAGTAACAATCCAGATTATTTGTTTATTTGCGGTTTTCGCTTGTTTATCACATCAAGACGGAAACCAACACAACAACGGCAGCAGCAGAAAGGGAAGCTCACCACACAACACAAACAAGTCAAGCTGTCAGGTTCGTTTGTTTGTTTAGGTAAGGGGGCGGGGGAGTGTGGGGGTCTTAGCCGTCGCCACATTGTTTGACTTTGATTATAAGAAGACATAAATAAATTGTATACCTGTATTGTAATACTCGAAGCCTATTTACATATTTATGTTTTTATTTGCTTTATTTGTTATACCGCATGTGCCCCTCACCCACCTGCCTACCCGATGAAATTACATCAAGGTTACATGTGGCGGAACAGCTAAGTAATTCGCATTTTCTTTCGCTTTCATTCTTTCAGCGCGTTGGCTGTGATTTAAAAATTGGCTCAGCCAAGAAGGTTGACATTTGCGGGGTTTGCGGTGGCAATGGCAGCTCATGTTCCCAGTCGCTCTATCAGTGGGAAACGGTACCGATGTCCCTGTGTTCCGTGTCATGCGGCGGAGGTAAGTGGCTTATGTATATCATTTATATTGACTGGAGATGGATGTCTGCTCTGATTTGTTTCTCTTTGGAATTTCGAAAAGGAAATGAAACGAAAATGTTGTTTTTACTTAATTTGATACAAGGTGTTACAAAATTCTCGCCTGGTTTTACATAAATACACAACAATTTCAGATGATATGGCTGGAAAGCTTTAAAGAAAATTCAAGTGAATGAGAGATTATATACTTTAAACAGTGTTTTCTTTTTTTGCCTAACCTTAACCAACATATTTTCCCTCATTTCTTAAGTGTTTGCATTTATTTTTCTTCTCAAGATTGCTCTTCAAGTTTCTTTGAACACGAACACATTCTCAAAGGAACTTGAACACGCATTCGCACACCGACACAGACACATGTGTACAATCACACACTCACACACAATATTTATTTAATAATTGAGTGGAAATAAAGGAAAGATGCAACCAAGGAAAAAAACCTGAATTGCTCACATCCAAGTCTTTTACAAACACACACTCACTACCACACCTAAGGACACTTGAGACGGACAATTGTAAGAATAAATGAATGTGTAGTGGTGGTGGTGCGGGTCTTGAACAGGTGATTGATTTTCTAGGAATGGCATTCCGTATAGGATATGTTGGATAAATAAAGACACTTCCCCACAAACAGATACTTGTGTACGTGCGGAAGTAATTTTCTCACTGATTATGTGAATACGTTTAGGGTAAAAGGATTGCAGAGAATAATGGAGATCCTAGGAAGCAGAAAATATATTAAGCTTTATATTAAATGGAATGTTATTGCAATAAAAATACCTTAACCTGCATAAGAAAAGGCTTTAAAAAAACTCCTGGAAATCTTCTATACACAACTTGAGATTTTTTGTAGGCATTCTTTAGGTAGAATACATGTAGAGGGACGACACCTGGGTTGAAACTACTTTTTAGAGCAGACAATCGTAGGACTTCCTAAGGAGGTCTATTATAGAAAACTAAACAAGTAAAAAAGCAGTAAGTTCGGCTGGACCGAATTTTTGAATACCATCCACAATTTGGAAAAAATTTTGGAATTTTCCAAAAAATTAAATCCATTAAAAATTATGTTAAAATCCTAAAATTACCAAATATAGACGTTATATTGGGTTCTATACGAAGACGTGGACCTGCCTAGCTAACTTTTGTCATAGGCCATTTCAATTTTCAAAACGAAACTTGAAACAACTTCAGTGGATAATGTAGTTAAAATCATAAAAATTACCGCATAGACTGTAGTACTCATTAGGAACTTCAAATACGAAATTTGAAAAAAAAAAAAACCGGCGAATAATGTCCGAAAATCATTAAAATAAATAAATCATTAATATAGGGTGGTACCGTTAAATGGCGAATATACGATATAGGGGACCTATATAGACAATTCACTTCCAGGAGGTGAAATACTCTGAAGGAATTCCTGGTGCTGATTTTGAGATAATGCCTTTTAAAAATGTAGCTAAAATTTGAATACCGAATATCTGAAGGTACCGTCATATGGGTGCTATACGATATCATGGACCGATATAGCCCCAGGTGTTTTCTAGATACCAGACCACTTTCAAGACTTCTATATAAAGAAGATTGGGCTTCGTGCTAGCTTCAGACGTAGGACCTTCCATTCTAACTCCATGGATGCCTTCTATGTTCCTTTTATATATAGAAGACCATATAAGCTATGATTCTGAATATAAGAGAAATTGCCCGCTGCGCTAGAACACCTTCTACCTCAGCATTGTTATACATTTTCGTAGAAGAGAGCAGTGAATCTTCTATGATCCTGTCTCTTTTTATAAGAATAACATTGTCTTGAATTCTTTACCGAGAGAAGCGGGTCTGCTGGGATAATAGAATAATAGGTTCATCTAGGGATAATACCTCCTGTTTTTTAGAAAAGCCTACGTGGGTGGTCTTCTGAAAATTTATTATTGAATCTGTTATACGAAGTCCTTCTGGACTTTAATAATAAGACATTTAGTTTTTTGGTCTTCTATTGTAAAACTATTTTGTGTTCTCTAAAAGGTCCATTTGAACTTCAAGAACAATTCAATTTTGTTTTAATAACGGAGCCGAGCTGTATGGCTATAGAGGGTATATATCACTTGATACCGCCAAAACGTGCCTTATCGAAGTAACGGGTTTGGACCCCAGATCTCTTTGGACCAAATCTGTTTAAGAATATTTAGAGTCGATCTAAGTATATCCGTCCATACGTTCATCTCTCTGTCAAGCTGGCTGGTCTCTCGATGGGAGCATCCGATTCGGTCCAAACTCGGTACATCGTAATATTATTTTCAAAAATAGATACAATTCGGATGTGAGCAATATCAGTCCACTCCTTCTGGTTCCTCCCCCACAAAATATAAAAATTTGCCAAGAAAACAATTTACCTCATAGAGAGAGAGAAATGATCATTAGATTTTGTATAAATTTTACAAATCCCAATATTGTTGTCAGTGCCGCTTCAGGTGTAAAAATTGACAATATCGGCCCCTCTATCAATCTGGATATCTTTGATAAGATTTGTTTCAAGACTTTGGAATATCCTTGAGATCCTGTCCGTCCGATTATGTGTTTTACGTGTTTTGCTGATATATTTTATATCCTACGATTTTTCCCAAAGCCCCCAAATTCTATTCCTTTCTCCCATTCAAATAATTTTGAAGGTTGTAACCATTTCATTAACGTTTATTGACTTTCGTTATTGTTTTTTGAGGAGTTGACTTAATCCTCTTTCACAAAACAAACACTTCAGAAAACAAAACAGCAATGGCACGAAACACAACTACTTCCAGAACAACAACTCGAACAACAACAACAATAACAATGGAGTAAACAATAAAGTGTTTAATGATCGAGAATAATAAACTAGAAACGTTACCAAATAGTCTGCGACACTCACACTATCTGATTTCTTTTTTTTTTTTTTTTTTGGTAGTCACGTTTGTTGGCTGCTTTGTTTGTTTTTCTGTCGAACTCGAATCGATTTCCACTGACATTCAAATATTTTTGCATTTAATGTGAATGCGGAGGTAGTTTTTCTTTTGCATTCTCGGTAGATGGAAATTGAACTTTGACACGCAACATGGAATAAAAATAAACAAAATCTAAAAGAGAAAATTCGAATTTTTAAGCAAGTCTCGCTAGCTCAGCTATTGGCTGGTATAGAATCGACTATTGTTTGCTTGGCTTAATAAATAAAAAAAACGAATTCATACAATGAGCAATCATTGATTGACAAAGAGTAAAGCACAAGTAACCGAACTACCAATATTCAATAAACAAATATTTTATATTTTGGTAGTCGACTTTTTGGGCGAAAAAAAAACTAAAGCCAAGACGTACCACGACGCATTTACCTCCCCAAAAAAAACAAAAATGATAAACGGCATAGCGTGACAATTGATGTCAACAATTTACTTATCGAGTTATTACCACCTCCTTGTGAACGCCTTTTCCATCTCATTACAGTTGCTTAAATATACCCTTCTTTCCCTCAATGACCTATTTTCCTGCTATTGAATTTGGCTAGTAATTACCTGTGTTAACCTTTAATGACCAAAAATTGATGGTAAGAATTTGTAAATGTTAGAATTTTTTTTTTGAAATTATTACTTAATTACCTTTTCGAACGGGATACCTACCATCCACAATGATGGCTACATATATTTCAAATTCCGCTCCTTATTGACATTGCTCTATGAATGTGTCCATTTAATTATTTAAATCAATTTATTTCTCATTAAGGTCGAATGTCAATTGACTTTTCGTGCGCTCTCTCTCTCACACTCCATCTCTCTCTCGCATTTTTAACTAGCAATGCATTAATTGTGGAATCGTTAGAAATCCCTTAGCACAAATTAACAACTGCAAATGACCATTTGGAGCCAATATCCCAAAGGGAAGTAATTAAATTGCAGTCCCTGAAGAATACGGTTGTTAATTATTTAGTAATTGTGTCTTACACCAACAATAGAACATTAGTCCCCAGGCCAAAACGGTTTTATACCTTTAATCTTGTGGTTATAGAGGGTATATATCATTAAAAACAGCCAAAGTAAGTCTCATATAAAGAATGGAAGAAATGCGTTTCAGGACATTTAGAGTCCATCTTACGATGTCCGTACTCTTCCACATGTTTGGCTTGTGTGGTGACTACATAAATCCTCGAGGGGACATTCGATTTGGTTCAAACTTACAACATAAAAATTATTATTTCTAACCTTGTTCGGATACAAGCTATATCACTTTCTGATACCTCCCACACGAACGATGAAACATTTTAAAATTATTCATTTATCTCATTTAAAGTAGAGGAAGTCCACGATAAAGTCCACACTTCGCATATCAAATATTATTTGGTCAAGTGCCAAAATGGACATCATTGCTTCAGGTCAACCAACCTTTTAATGGCCAAAATTCTCAATAAGTCCCCATTTCCCAATTTTTGTAAAATTTCAACCCTTCGATTTTTTGCCAAAATTAGATTCAATGTAAAGATGGAATATATCGGTATACCTCTTCTTGTAGATACCCCACAAATTGTCTACATTTTCAACTAATCACATTTCTAATGGATAACGAAGGGAGTATCCGAATAAGTTAAACTTTTGGACATCGCAGTGTGTCATCTTGAAAATAACGTCACGTGTCTATTCAATACTCACAAGAAATATTGAAAATCCCTACATACAGGGTGAGATGAAAAAACTGCAACCAACTTCAGACTGCTGTCATCTCTAAGCCACTCGTCCAACAGCTGTTAAAATTATTCCAGTGACAGCTCATTATATTGTTTACAATCGTACAAAAGCATTTTGGTGAGCATTTTCCAGAAAAGAAGTTATTCGTGATGGTATTCAAGCGTGATAGTGTGATTTCTTTATATTTGGCCGGAAACCCACAAGCGGCTATCGTTAAAGCAATCCAGCATTTAAATGTGAATAAATCTATTGTGATACTGGTAGCGCAGCTCGACGTCAAGGAGGTGGACGGGAGAAAACAGCAACATCAGCAGAAATGGTTTGAAAAGTAAAGAAGCGACTTGATCGAAATCCGCGTCGCAGTGGCCGAAAAATGGCTCGTGAGCTGAACATATCGCAATATCCCATTCGGAAAATATTGAAAAATGAGCTCGGGGTAAAGCCATTGAGATTCCAAGAAGTGCAAGAGCTTTCACCGCAACAGAAAGAAAATAGACTCAAAAGAGCTAAAGAGTTGCTTCGCTTGGCCGAAAGTGGTGAACTGTCGAATTTGGTTTTCTCCGATGAGAAAACATTCGTTGTCCAGCTGTTTGTAAACAAACAAAAAGATTGCCAAAGAGGTCAGCTGAAAATTTCGCCAGAAGGTGCCACCAGAACTCAAGCGCCGGTCATGGTGGTGTAGTGGGCCGCCGTAACAGCCGATGTCCGCTCTCCGCTCGTATTAATCGACCGTGGCATCAGTGTATTAAAGCCTTGGGCACACAAACATTTTGGCCGCAGACCTAGCCATTTCAAAAGGACTCATCACCATCGCACTCAGTACGCGCCACCCAAGAATGGTTACAAAATGAGGTTCATCGCTTCATTTGCAGCGCACAATGGCCACCAAAATCTCCTGATACCAATCTGTTGGACTATTGTGTCTGGAGAATTTTGAAAAGCAAGGTTGGCACCAAAAAATTCCAAAGTGTCGATCAACTCAAGTAGGCGCTTCGCCGGGAATAGGCCAAAATACCACAGAGCAACATTCGGGCAGCGTGTGACGGTTTCATTGGCCGTTTGAAGGCCATAATTCGTGCCAAAAGTGACCAATTCGAACAAATCTAAACTTATTCTAAAATTTGATGCTATTTCCGACATTTTTCCTTTCATTCGCAACAATTAAAAAGAATGTAAAAATTATGGAGTACTGTACTGACATATCTCTTTTTTAGACCAGGTCTTTTTTGGTAAAATCATTGGTATGTGACAAGTTTTTAAAAAATCGCAATCGCTGTTATGAGCCTTGTGGTTATTCAAAATATTGATTCTTTGTGGGGGAGAAATCAGTAGTGCGATTCTCTAACTCATTTTTTGAGTTACCGACAAAAATCGGTAAAATTGAAATGCTTATAATTTCGCTAGTTAACGACAATTTTCATCAAGTTACCGACCAAGATGAAGTAGTCGTTAAGTCCTACCGATGGCAATAGTGTTGCCAACTTTAATTTGGACTTTTCATTCAAAATTTTGCGTTTTAATTTTACCGATATTTGTCGGTAACTCAAAAAATTCGTTAGAGAATCCCACTACAGATCTTGTGTTGGTAGGAGCATTGGGATATGTGGAATTTTAATGGAATTATTAAACCTTTCACAAGCGTTTTTGTAATTTATAATTGAAGAAGGAGGCCGATATTGTCCATTTTCGCATCAGACCAATCACTGATACAAATATTAAGATTTGCCAAGCTTTAGCAAAATCGGATGAGCCTTCCTTTTGACCTTTTGTGGGGGAGTTACCCAAAGAAATGGACCAATATTTCCTATCTCCGAACTCGGCGTAAATTTAATAAAAATATAATAATGTTACGATGCCCCCAGTTTGGACGGATTCGGATACTCCCTTCGAGAGTTATCGGGGGTACCTCCAAATGTCCTGAAACGTATTTCGTCCAAAGAAGCTTAGGGTCGAAAAATATGATATGGATGTTTTTGCCTATATTAAATGATATATATCCTCTGCAGCCATATGGCTGAGGGTATTATTAGACAAAGCCTAGACTCCAATGACCATGTTACAAAGGCCAACTCTCCTGTTAGGAACCCCCTGACAACTTATCCACTTAAGTTCAATATTCTAACCATCAAAATTTATTTTCCTTTATATTTTTAAACTATTTCCTCTACATCTGTGTGAATAAAGTTTACAATTTTAATTTACCAAAGTAAACTGGAGATATTGAAGGTATACATTTTTCCATTTTAAATTATTCACATTTCGAACTACAAAACTAGGTGCCCGTTTTCCTTCAATAGAAGTAATCAAATCAAACAAAATTTAAGTGTCTCTAAGTCTCCCCATTGAACTCCCTCAATTATTTGATAAAGAAGAAGTGCTCGCTCTGTGCCTCCAAACTTACTTTCATATTTTCCCCTCCAACAACCAGCAACAACAGTTCTAAATGCCTTTCAAATATTGTAAAGTTTTCGTTTTTTGTAACAAATTTCCTCGGGACATCAAACATTTCACTTTATTGCCCAAAAGCCAAAACATTTCATAATTTGCAACTAAAGTAGATATGGTAATTTTCCAAAAGAAGGAAAATGAAAACAAAATGGAAATGCCCTGGTCAAAGTTTATTGACATTGTCAATGATGTACAACTTGCTGTTGTTGCTGTTGTTCGGTGAAACTTTGTTAAGACTTGGACAGATGTTTGTAGTGACTGGGTGACTTGCAACGCTTCACGGTGACCATGAACACAGCCGGAGGGTCCACCAAAATCATTTGCCTCTCAAACAAGTTTTAAACGTTTATGTTTGTAATTTCATGGCAACATTAACAAAATCAATCTTTCGCTATGAACTTTCTTTTTTTTCTTTGTTGGAGATATAATATTCTGGCAATGCCATTGAATTTTTGAATTGTTTTTTATTTCGGGGACTTTAAACTGGCTTTAAGTTAAAGCAGATTATTTTACAAGTTACTTAAATATTATTTTAGAGGGGAAAAGAGACATATAAGCTATTTTATTAGAGGAAATTGAAGACTTGTGTTTTACATATTGGCAGTTTATTCAGAGTGACACATTAGAAAAAATTCAGGGTCGAGAAAAAAACAAATTATCACACATAGATGTCGCTGAGTTATAAAACTGTTCATAAAATTGAAGCCATTTGTCAGTAACGTTATCCCCATTATTTCAACACCTAGAATAGCTTATTACAGCGCCATCTAGATTTGTTAATTTTCACCATGACTTCATGTTTAATTTCCCTCCCAATTTTCAACATATGTAAAACCAAATCTTAAATTACCTTTTAAGAAACCTCCTTAGCAGCGACTTTCCCTTCGCTGCCAAATGAAATTCCAAGATTTACCATATCCCTGTGTCACTCACTAACTTATTTGCTTTCTTCTGTGAATTCTTGCTTTTCATGTTGCCGTTTTTTTTCTTGTGTTTTGCTTTCAGGCTATAAGATGTCTCGTGTTGTGTGTCGCAGTCGAGTCTCTGGCACCGAGGTGGAGGATGCCCTGTGCAATGCAGCTAATCGCCCTGAACCATCTGTGGAACTGTGTAACACCCATACCTGTCCGCCCAGGTAAGTGAAGTAGAGTTTTTGTCCCACTTGTTTAGCTGTGGCAGTTGTGGGTAGCTGTCGTAGAGAAACAAGATTTAGTAGAATTCGTATTTTCTTTTTTTTTGGAAAGGTAGGGCGGGAGGCTAAAATGTCAAGATATGCCAGTGATGGTTTCAATGGAACACATTTCATGGAGACATTTCCTCGTTGTTGGGTTTGTGTTCCACCACCCCGCGCTATTTGATTGAGAGCTGTGTTGTAGGGAAACTTGTCATTACTCCTCCAAACCTATATTCATTCATTGCATTTCACTTTTTCGCCTGCATTTGGTAGCTCGCTCACCCGCTCGCTCGCTCGCTGTTCCCATTGTAAATGTGGCACTTTTGTTGGTTAGCTACCGCAAAATGTAATTTAACGTTTCACAGGAGGTTTAAACTGTAATTGAAGTTTTTAACATTCGTTGCCAGCTAACAGCAGGCAAAACCCAAATGCTTAGCATAGGGAAATTAAATATTTCATGGCAATACTAATTGCGAAATTGTGCCACGCAACATTTGTGAGACATTTATTTCGAAAAAATGCAACATGCTTTGCAAAAAAGGAAAAAAATCAAATAATTGGTAAAGGTATAAATACAGTCTTCCACTATTGATATATGGGTGCCATGCTAAATAGTGAACCAAAATGGCAATCAGACTTAAAACACTTAGGGAAATTCTACAACCAAGTGGACTCCATACCAAAAACTATATACGAATGTAAACTTGTCCCAACAATAGCGAAAAACTTCCAGCATTTGTTCGATATATATCGACACACTACTGATTCCTACCCACATTCTTGTCAAGAATTGGAATTATCATGGCACTCATACAATGCGAAATGACTCCCCGATTTACTTCACACTTTGCACATTCCTATATTCCTATCTGCTTTAGATCTAGAGAGAGATGGAGCATTTCGGTCAGGCTTGCTCATAATATTAGCATTAGTAGTGGTGAGAGACTCTCTTGCCCTGCCAATTCACATGAAAATAGAAAGAGAATATGTGTGCTTTGTTTATACTTTTTCGTTCGAGGCTGCTCATAGCTGATTTCGGTCCACTCCTCCTGGTACCTCTCCCACAAACTAACAATTATGTAATAAAAGTCAGTCTATAGAGAATCCCTGCATATCGTCTATAGAAACTCTCTCTTCAGCTCTTCTATAAAGTCCCAATCTATCTCTCGTCGGCTCGTCCATGGAAACTTTCTCTCTCTCTCTCTATCTCCGGCTCGTCTATAGAAACTCTCTCTCATTTCAGCTCGTCAGGTCGTCTATAAACAATATCACTCTCTCTTTAGCTAGTCTATGGAGATCCCCACTCTCTTCTGCTTGTATATAGAGCAACTTCAGCAATTTTCTTTATAGAAACTCTCTCTATAAATACTCTTCTTTTAACTCGTCTATAAAGACTTACCCTTCAACTGTATCTTTAGCTCGTCTTTTATTCAATTCGCCTATAGAGACTCGTCCATAGGCACTTTTCTTCCAACATCTCTCTCTCGGTCTCTCTCTCTTCAGCCCATGTATATAAGCCCCTTCCTTTACCTACAGAGATTCTTTCTCTTCAGTCCATCTGTAGAATTTTTCTCTCTCTCTCTTCAGTTTGACTTAGCAACTCTATCATCAGCTCGTCCATACAACTCCTCCTTCTTTGTATATAAAAACTTCCTCCAGCCCGTTTATAGTAAATCCCTTCCGCCAATCTATGGAGACGCCCTTGAGCTCATTTATGTGACCAGCTTAAGCTCATAAAAAGTCGAAAAGATTGGCTTCAGTCGCTTTATAAATACTCCCCCAGCTCTTCAAAAATGATTTCCTGAACTCGTCGATAAAGACGACTTTCAGCTTTCATCGATAAAAACGACCTTCAACTCGACACTCAGTCGATTTATGGAGGCCTCCATCAGCTCATCTTTGTAACCCGCTTCAGCTCATGAAAAGTCGAAAAGATTGGCTTCAGTCGTTTTATAAAGACTCCTTCACTTCTTCTAAAAAGACTTCCTCAACTCGTCGATGAAGACGACTTTCAACTTTTATCGATAAAGTCGTCCTTCAACTCGTCTATGAAATCTTACTTCTCATCTATGAAGTCTCCTTTCATCTTGTTTATAATGACTCTCTTAGCTCGTCTATCAAAACTACCTCATCTCGTCTATGAAGCCTCCTTTCAACTCCCTCAGCTCGTCTATAAAGACTCCCTTCAGCTCGTCTATAAAGACTCCCTTCAGCTCGTCTATAAAGACTCCCTTCAGCTCGTCTATAAAGACTCCCTTCAGCTCGTCTATAAAGACTCCCTCAACTCGTCTATAAAGACTCCATCAGCTCGTCTATAAAGACTCCCGTAGCTCTAAGACTCGCTTAGCTCATTTGTAAAGACTTCCTCAGCTCGTCTATAAAGACTTTCTCAGCTTGTCTATAAAGACTTCCTCAGTAAACACCTTAAGCTCTATAAACACTCCCTCAGCTTGTCTTTAAGGCTCCCTCAGCTCGTCTATAAAGACTCCCTCAGCTCGTCTATAAAGACTCCCTCAGCTCGTCTATAAAGACTCCCTCAGCTCGTCTATAAAGACTCCCTCAGCTCGACTATAAAGACTCCCTCAGCTCGTCTATAAAGACTCCCTCAGCTTGTCTATAAAGACTCCCTCAACTCGTCTATAAAGACTCCCTCAGCTCGTCTATAAAGACTCCCTCAGCTCGTCTATAAAGACTCCCTCATCTGGTCTATAAAGACTCCATCAGCTCGTCTACAAAGACTCCCTCAGCACGTCTATAAAGACTCCCTCATCTGGTCTATAAAGACTCCCTCAGCTCGTCTATAAAGACTCCCTCAGCTCGTCTATGAAGACTAGCTCATTTCGTGTAAACTTCAGCTCGAAGTTTTTGATTCGGAATCCTTTCCTCAGACCTCAGATTTTCTCGTTTTTAATCGGGAGATAAACGTGATAGCCGGCGGGAAAGCTGAGATAGTTCGAATTTAATGTGAATTTTATTCTCCACTCTTTTGTTTTATGCTGAAACGCTCACATGTCAGTTCTGTTTGAATGGGAGTCGAAATGCTCGAAACAGAGTTGTCTTTATAAGTGAAATCGAGAGGAAAAATTATTTTTTTACTGATTTGAGTGTTCTTATGTGTGTGTTTAATAAGGAAAGAGGCTTTAATATTGCTTTGAGCTGGGGAGACTCGTATACAAAACCAAGAGGAGAAAAACAGTGGAACCAGTAACACTATCACCTGTATAAATTCTGGTCGACTTCGAGCGAATTTTACTCCCACTCGGAAATGAGAAAAGTATTTCCGTACTTATTCGTGTGACATCGAAAATAAAGTATTCTCATTTTTTTTTCTACTCCCAGGGGGAGTTTTACTCCCTATTCCAATTCAGACGAAGTCGTGTTCTTTTACTAGCAAAAGTGATGGAGCAATAGAGCCATTTTAGTAGCATCTTAAGCTTATGTTAGCTCTGAATTCCTAAAAAACTATGTTAGTGATTGTTGGAGCTTCAAGATCAAATTTCATTTAGAAGATTATTTTTACAATATCTCCGTAAAAGAAATGTTTGTTTTCCCTTTTTTCTTCGCAAAATCAAATGAATTAAAGTCAAAAATTTTCTGAATTATAATCTAATATTTTAAATTTTCTTCAAGTAGCCCTTTTCCACCAGCCAATTTGCGATTACCAACACAACATAGAAATTAACTTTATTTTGGCAATATTAACTGCCACTTAACCCTTCAAAATTTGATAATAATTTAATTTTTGCCAAATATTAACTTGTTAACTAATGGTACTGTGTTTGTGTGTGTGCGAGTGTATTTTCAACTCTCTGTTCTTTTCAGATGGATAGCGGACGATTGGAGTCCTTGTCACCGTCCCTGTGGTCCAGGAATACGCACCCGTATGGTTGTGTGTGCCGAGGAGAACAATGGCCTAAAGACAAGAGTAAGTTTTGAATGCAGTTTTTTTTTTTTTTTTTTGTTTTCCAGTTTTTTGTTATTACGACCAGCAAGTCTTTTGTGCTCCAGCACTAGAGGGAAAAAAACTAAACTGGGGAGAAGAATGAAAAACAAAGTTAAAATTAGACATTGTCCTGAATTTTCAAAGATGTCGAGCCAACGAACGAACAAGCGAACTCCACAGCACCATGGCAAGCCGCCCGACCAGCCAGCTCTGCAGCAACACTAATGTTTTTGGAAGTTTCCTTAAGGGCATTTAGCGCCCTAACTAGTTTTCGTTTTCAGCCAAACTCTTTGCTGCCACCGACTTTGGGGACAAAATTAAAATTAGAAACTTTTTGTGTGTGTCCTGAGTTTGGCCTAAAACTAAGTTGGGCTACTTTGCCATAAAACTGATGATGATGATGACATTTTCTAAATTGTCTTGTAAATGCTGTTGTAAAACAACCACTAAAATTAGCCAGCTAATTTTGCAGCACAAAATCCTTATTCATCTGCCTCTTTAGCATTTTTTTTTGTTTTGTTGCTGTTTAAGCCTAACACTTGATGTTGGCCATCATCAACTGCTTATAGTGTAAAAATGTGCAAAAAAATATTCTAACTAAGCTTTCATTTTCTCTATTTGTGTGTTTACTTTCCAGGTTGCCGACTCGCTGTGCCCTTTGCCCAAACCACCAACTCAAGAGCAGTGCATTATAGCCGAATGCCCAAAGTGGGAGGTTGAAAAGTGGTCTAGCGTAAGTATTTCTTGTGTTTCCTTTTTTTTTTTTTTGGTATTCCTTAACTCTTCATCCTCTCCATGGTTGGAGTGCCTATAATCCCCGTTATGGCCCGCAAGATGTATTCATGCGGGCATTTAAATTTAAAATTTTAGGATTTTTATTTTTAAACGTTGGTTTTCATGGCCTGTCTAGCAACTGGCCATAAGGTAAACCAACATGGAAGTAGGAAAATTATTATGGTACAACCAGGAGGTCTTTTTTGTGTTCCTTGGGTGTTTTTGAGAATTGCCTTTGGTTTGTGGCTAACTGGTCTTACATTATCTTAGCTAAGGATTGCTGCAGTGGGTAAACATAAATTTCCAAAAAAAGGTTAACCAAAAAGGGAAGGTGCAATATTTTTCTTACTTGTAAGCCTCAACATCAAACGTAGACATGTTAAATAACACAACTTTATAAATAAGAATTTTGTAAAGTAGTATTGAAAGATACAGGGTAAGATGAAAAAACTGCAACCAACTTCGGACTGTTGTCATTCCCAAGCCACTCGTGCGACAGCTGTAAAAATTATACCAGTGACAGCTCATTATATTGTTTACAAGCGTACAAAAGCATTTTGGTGAGAAATGGTGAGAAAAAAAGTTATTCGTGATGGAATTCAATATATTTGGCTGGAAAACCACAAGTGGCTATCGTTAGAGCATTCCAGCATTTAAATGTGAATAAATCTTTTGTGTCTGTTACTATCGCTCGTTACCGTGATACTGGTAGCGTAGCCCGACGTCAAGGAAGTGGATGGAAGAAAACAGAAACATCAGCAGAAATGGTTCGAAAAGTTAAGAAGCGACTTGATCGAAAACCGCTTCGCAGTGGCCGAAAAATGGCTCGTGAGCTGAACATGTCGCAATATTCCATTCCGCAAATATTGAAATTCCAAAAAGTGCAAGAAATTAAATCGCAACAGAAAAAAAAATAGACTCAAAAGAGCTAAAGAGTTGCTTCGCTTGGCCGATGAGTAAACCTTCCTGGTCCAGCAATTTGTAAACAAACAAACTGGTCGTGATTACTTGCCAAAGAGGTCAGCTGAAAATGTGCACCTTCGGTTAGCCACCAGAACTTAAGCGCCGGCCATGGCGATGGTGTGGGCCGCCATAATAGCCAATAGTCGATCTCCGCTCGTATTAATCGACCGTGGCATCAAAATAAATTCCGAATATAATCGCGAAAATATTCTGGAGGGTGTAATAAAGCCTTGGGTGCGCTCGATTAATTTCCAGCGCACAATTGAGACCAAATTCTCCGGATACCAATCTGGTGGACTATTGTGTCTGGAGTATTCTGGAAAGCAAGGTTGACACTAGAAAATACCAAAGTGTCGATCACCTCAAGCAAGCGCTTTACCGGGAATAGGCCAAAATACCGCAGAGTAACATTCGGGCAGCGTGTGATGGTTTCATTGGCAGTTTGAAGGCCATAATTCGTGTCAAAGGTGGCCAATTCGAATAAATCTAAATTTTATTTAAAATTTGATGCTATATCCGACATTTTTTGCTATCATTCAATTAAATTTAAAAAATGTAAAAATTATGGCGTTTGACTTTGTTGCATTTTTTTTTTTTATCAAAATGTGTTCGAATTCGAAGAGAATTTAAAAGAAATATGAATAAAACCCACATGTATTGGAAAATATGTATCGATTTGAAAATGATTTGACCTTGGGAACAAATAAGGAAGTTATTCCAAGTTTTAAGATTTTTTTTTCTTGTTTTTCAACAAATAAATTCAAATTGAAAATTTCGCCTCCTGTCGACTGATAATATCCCAAAAAGTCGTTATGTCATCTATAAACCTCCATATTTTCCAAATTTAATTATTCCCGTTCAAAATGTAAAAATGGTTCTTATTTAAATTGCCCAACAATATGAACCGCCATAATTTCGCTTCACTTTTATTCACTCACCAGTCATGTCCCCAAAACAAACAAACACACACTCATACCGAACAACAGAAACAACAATAACAAGAAAATGTATGTATATCTCAACCACATAACCACAAACCAAGGAAAATTTACATTAAGATCAACATTAACATTATTTTTTCAACACATTTCTTTTCCAATTTTCTCTGAAATCATAATAAAGTTGTCCTGCCACAGCAACATCATCGCACACACACTCACATGCACACGTGTACAAATAAACATTTCCGTTTGTATGTATGTATATGTAGGTTGATGCATTCATATCCATATATTTGTGATTAAGGATATATCATGTCTGACAGGTTCTGAAATGTTCCAAAAAGTGGAATAACATTGGAGAATATTAAAAAAACCCAAAAAAATGAAAAGCTGTAAGGTCGAGAGAACTGATATTTCCATATCCTCTCTCGTGGGAAAACTTTATCTGCGCCCAAATCGGTCGGTTTCAAAATTCTTAAAATTGGGGTTTTATACTCAATCCCCTTCAGTTGGAAAAGCTGATTAGCTCTTTGTAAGTCCCATTCCAAAACCTGGATGCAAATAACACATTATTTAGTAGAATGAGATCCATCTGTTGCGATTTCAAACCATAAAACCACATCTGTTTTTGTAGGGTACTGAAGTGGCCCATTAAGCTCCCAAAAACCGACTGATCCGATATAAAGGGACTTAATCAAAACTTTGGCCGATATAAAAGATTTTTCATTGTGCGAATTATCATAAATGGAGTATAAAAATTCTTTTTCATTTTAATTAATTGCGCAATTTTTGTAGGGTCAGTTCATATTTTCAAAGAACCTGAACCTGGTCGAAATCTTTCATCTTCACCCAGAGAAATGATTTGATGAGAATCGGATGCTTATTTCGCATCTTATCAATAATTTGTTATTCAAAATTTTGACCCTTTTATGGGGAAGGCACCGGAAGGAGTGTGCCGATATGTCCCATCTGCACTCCAGATGTTGAGTTAATGAAATTATTGAGATGTGCCGAGTTTGAATGAAATCGGATGTATATTTCACGTTTTATAAACCACACGGTTATTTAAATATTGATCAGTTGTGGGAGAGGCACCAGAAGGAGTGGTCCGATATTGTTTATCTTCACAACAGATCTTGTGTTGGTAGAATTGTTGGGATATACGAAATTTGAACGCAATCGGATGTTCATTAGGCGTTTTATGAGACTCATGGTTATTTCAAATTTTGTCCCCTTGTGGGGAAGGTATCACAAAGAGTGGTCCATTCTATCAGTTCTTTATATAATTTATTTATATAAAACCTTATATTGGTAGAAATGTTGGGGTGTGCCAAGCTTGAAGGCAATAGGACTTTAATTTCAGAATTTTATAAGAGTTATAATTATTTAAAATGTGTACTCTATGTGGGGGAGATACTAGATGGAGTGGCCTGAGACTGCCCATTTTCGCTCCTGACCTAGCACTGATAAAGATGTTGGGATCTGCAAAGTTCGCAAAAAATCTGTTTATCATTTTTTGTTCTATAAGGTAAATAGTTTTCTTTGAAAATGTTGACCTTTTGTGGCGGAGGTACCAAAAGGTGTGGTCCGATATTACCCATCTCCAAACTCAATCTAAGTTTGTTAATAATATTACAATGTACCAGATTTGAATCAAATCGGATACTCCCTTCGAGAGTTATCGTCCTTACCAGATAGAGAGACAAACGGACAGACATACCTAGATCCAAATGTCCCGAAACGGATTCGGTCCATAGAGACTTAGGGCCTAAAACCGTCATTTCGATGAGGCATGTTTTGGCCGTATCAAATAATACATACCCTCCGTAGCATAGAATTGAGGGTATACAAATAAAAAAAAAACGTTCGTGAATTCCGATAGCCTCTCTTATAAGAACAAGTAAAAGAACAGCTCGCCCGAACTTTTTTAACCATCAACCATTTTGAAAATTTTCAAAAAAAAAAAAAATCCGTCGAAAAATACCGTTCTCATGAAACCCTTTATATGGGGCTATACGAAGATGTGGTCCTGCGTAAGTAACTTGTGTCATAGGCTGTAGTAATGTTTCCGAACTTTATATACGAATTTTGAATAAATTCTGGTGAATAATGTCGCAAAAATCATAAAAACACCGGTACCTGGGGGTACCGTTATATGGGCGCTATACTAAAACGTAGAACTATTTAGACAACTCTCTTCTAAGAGGTAAAGTACTCTGAAGGAACCCCTTGTGTGGATTTTAAGACAATTCCATTAAAAAATTTGTCTGAAATATACTAAAACGTGGATCTGTATGTATACACAATTCTCTTCTAGGGGATAAAGTATTCACAAAGAACTCCTTGTGTAGATTTTGGGACAGTTCCGTAAATGTGGCTAAAATCACCTAAACACCGAATATCGGGGGGGGGGGGTACCGTTATATGGGGGCTATAAGATATCGTGGACTTATTTACCCCTTCCTCAAACTTGACCTGCCTACCGACAAAAGGGAGATCTGTGCAAATCGGACGGACGGACTTACAGGGCTAAATCGTTTTAGAATTTTACACTTATCAAGAATTTATACACTTTGTTGGGTCTAAATTTATTATTTCGATGAGTTACAAACGGAATGACGAACTTAATATACCTTACATACTATGTATGGAAAATGTATTCTTAACCAAATCGTTTGGTTTTAGAATCCTTAAAATTTAAAGGTAACTTTATTTTAGAAACAGCTCATTCAGTTGAAAAATGTGGCTAGGACTTTTAAACTATCATTTCAAAATCTCGGATAAAAACTTAAAATTCCGATAAATGTAAATCAAATAGTGGGTCCGTTCGAAAAGTGCTTTTGGGTTCGAATTTCCAAAAATGAATTATTCATGCCTAGGGAGATCAATTGAAAACCTCAAAAGTCTCTAATTCTGGTATGAGTTTACATCCTGTATTGATACGAAACTACGTATCTTTTAGTAGATTTTTAGTCACATTTCAGAACTACAGATTTTTGCCTTTATTTTTTTAAAACATAAACATGTACTAATAGTGACCCATATTCCAAATTACAGTTGTTCCAGGATCTTATCTAGAAATGTATTTCGAATCCATGTCAGATGTCTCCAAATGGTCCCGTTTTGTATTATATAATTATGTTTCCTATGTATGAATATAATGGGCCTATATATACCACTTTTAATAATTAAGATCCTCATAGGGTATTCAAAATTTGTATCAAATATATGTAATTTGAAATAAAGCGGGAAAAAATTAGCTATTTGTTCAACATTTTTAAACGATCTTCAATCCCGAATGGCATGAAATCTTGGCCCCAATGTTTCGATTCTGAAAATTTGCCGCTGTGTTTATATCATTTTTTGAATACAAACATCCTCCACATTAAGACACGACCTTTCAGACTTTTTTTTTTGTATACTTCCATTCCTGTATCACAAAGAAGACACGAAAACTACGCAAAAATGTTTAATGTTGTTCCTCCTTCCAGGACGTAGTAACATTAATATGTAATTTTTCAGAAAATTGTTGGCGGCGTGCTTTTGCCAATTCTTCTTAACAATTTACATATGTATGTCTTTATGCAGATTATCTGCTAAGACAGTCGTGGCAAACTGGTACGTGAACAACGTAGATTTGCCACAAATATTACAGGCAATCTAAAGCAGGAAGCCAAAAAACCCCCACACACACACTCACACAGCCAAACCGACACACAGTTAAATGCCTAACTCGATGACTGGCACCCTTCAGGCGTAACCATAATGTAGTTGCGGTAGCTGCAATGAATGAGAGAACAACGGCAACAACAAAAAAATAAAAAATTGATGCCGACAATGAATAAAGGCAAATGAAGATTGTTGGTTATCTGAGTGTTTGTCTACCGCACGCTCAAACACACACACGCACACACACTCACTCACTCGCTGTCAGGTTTTAAACGTCAGCCATAAACTAAGTCAGTTGCTCTTGGTTTTAGTTAATATCGCTAACATGTCTCACACTCCCCCATCGCGAGCAAAGTGCTCACGTAGACTATGTATGCATATGTGTATGTATGTATGTGTGTAGATGTGCTAACATTTTCCGTGCATTTTTCTCTTTTCTCATTTCTCATGCAAACGCCATACGAAACGTACCAAAAGTGTTCCGAGTCCTGCGGCCAAGGCATACAGATGCGTAATGTCGAATGTAAATCAGCCGATGGCGGTTTGAGCGCCAAATGTGATCCTCTGACAAAGCCCTCCAGCGTTCAGCAGTGTACCACGGGCATTTCGTGTGAGTCCGCGCCAGGGAATGTGGGTGGCGGCACAATAATTGTGGGTAGCAGTGGTCCTAGGGTGAGTATTAAACGCCGACACTCTGGCACATAAATAATGGAAACAAATGAGCGACAGGAAATGATTGAACCTGAATATACGCGCACACGTATTTCGATTAAAATATTAAAGTTGTCAAATATACCTATAAAGTATTTCAAAATTTATTTTTCCTTTTGTTTTCTATTTTCACTTTCATTTAGGATCCCTTAAATGTGGACGAGGAAGATGAAGACCTAGTCGACGAAGATGAGGATGAAGAAGATGACACCTCTGAAATTGAAGATGATGGCGATGATGCTTCCTACAATGATCAACCGGTCTATGCCCATCACACCATGAGTCGTCTGCATCAGGAGGAACCGGACGGGCCACGTATGATGCGTTTACAGTCATCGTCGCGTTATCGTTCCGCAGAGGCAAGACCATCAGAACCAACGTAAGTTTAAATAAATTCACTAAGTTACTCAAGCACCAAGCGAACTTTAGTATTTGCTCTAATCTAATGTCAAGTGAAACGATATCACATTTTTGTCTCTTCGGAAAAAAATAATCGATTTCGAAAATATATCTGAGTTTTTAGAGTGTAAATTTTTGAGTCCAATCTAAGTTAGTAGCAGTAAAAATTTTTTAACAATATATTTTAATATTTTTTTAACTTTTTTGAATTTTTCTCGTGAGAATAATTGCTAAAAACCCAACTATTTTTCAACACAATCTGTCACATGACTGGTAGAGATTGTGTTCGAAAATTTGACCCTCATGGTAAAATATTGAAAACAGTGAAGGCCACAAAAGTTCACAAGTAATCCACAAATTCTTTTGGAACCATATTATTATGAGAAAAATTGTTATTGTAGCAGCCAGAACTCCAAAATGCTTTGAGGTACACTCTCTTCTCGAATTAAAGTGGGAGATCTGCTGTCAATAGAAAAAATTGGGTATATTTTTTTTACTTTTTGGCAATTGAGTAACACTGCGGATGCTGTGCTCGATTCCGGAAGGGAGTAGATTCACTGCAAACCAAGCAGATTTTACTTGTTAAATAAGTGGTTTTGATGCAACATATTTGGCATATTTCCACAATCCACATAAATTTGAATTGAGGACCTAATACGAAGTCATATCTCACCAGTTTGTCAGGACAACATAATTTTTTCATCTCCAATGGATTGAGGGTGATCTTAGTTAATGATATTCCCCCTGTATTCTTAAATTGCTTTTCGAATCCGTCTTTGCGAGCTACTAGTTTTATTTTATACCGTTTTACATCTTCCCTTGATTGGAGGGTATATTAAGTTAGCCATTCCATCTGTAACTCATCGAAATAATAATTTTAGACAAAACAAGGTACAGGTTGAGATAAAAAAACTGCATCAAAGTCAACACCGTAATTTAATTTTTTTTTAATTTTATTGAATGAAAGCAAAAAATGTCGGAAATACCATCAAATTTTAGAATAAGTTTAGATTTCTTCGAATTGGTCACCTTTGGCACGAATTATGGCCTTTAAACGGCCAATGAAACCGTCACACGCTGCTCGAATGTTGCTCTGCGGTAATTTGGCCCATTCACGGCAAAGCGCTTGCTTGAAGTGATCGACAATTTGGTATTTTTTAGTGCCAACCTTGCTTTCCAAAATACTCCAACGGATTGGTATCCGCAGATTTTGATGGCCATTGTGCGCTGGAAATGAAGCGAAGAACCTCATTTTTTAACCATTCATGGGTGGCGCTGGTTGAGTGCGATGGTGCTGAGTCCTGTTGGAATGTCCAAGGTCTGCGGCCAAAATGTTTGCGTGCCCAAGGCTTTAATACACCCTTCAGAATATTTTCGCGATAATATTCGACATTTATTCTGATGCCATGGTCGATTAATACGAGCGGAGAGCGACCATCGGCTGTTATGGCGGCTCACACCATCACCATGACCGGCGCTTGAGTTCTAATGGCATACCGAAATTGCACATTTTCAGCTGACCTCTTTGGCAATTAAACACGATCATTTTGTGTGTTTACTGGTGATCAACGAATGTTTTCTCATCGGAGAAAACCAAATTCGAAAGTTCATCACTTTCGGCCAAGCGAAGTAACTCTTTAGCTCTTTTGAGTCTATTTTCTTTCTCTTGCGGTGTAAGTTCTTGCACTTTTTGGAATTTCAATGGCTTTATCCCGAGCTCATTTTTCAATATTTGGCGAATGAAATATTGTGATATGTTCAGCTCAATTTCGATCAAGTTGCTTCTTTACTTTTCGAACCATTATTGCTGATGTTGCTGTTTCTTCCCTCCACTTCCTTGACGTCGGGCTACGCTGCCAGTATCACGGCAACGAGCGATGGAACGGGACACAAAAGAATTATTGACATTTAAATGCTGGTGTGCTCTAACGATAGCCACCTGTGGCTTTCCAGCCAAATATAAAGAAATCACACTATCACTCTTGAATTCCATCACGAAGAGTTTTTTTGCAGTTTTTTCATCTCACCCTGTAGTCTGATCGAACGAACTAGTTCCGTGCACTTCGGTCGTTTTTATGGACAATCTGCCTATGAGTGATATTAAATTTTGGTATCATTCATACATTTAGGAACTACATTGACCTCTTTTAAAAATATATGTCCCTCCAGGAATCCCTTATGAATTTCGATTTTCTTAACAATTTCAGAGTAAGACATAGCTTTTTATGTATTCCGAAAGTCTTCCACGATTTTACTGAATTATTTGTAAACAAATCATATTCACTCATTTTATTCCATTTAAATTCTTTAATTATTGTTCGCCATAAATTTATTTAAGGCCAACAGCAATTAAATGAGAAATTAATTTTTGAGGTTTATTTACATCGGCCATAAATTCCCAGTTGTTGATTGATAATGTCGGTGTTATAATTAAAGAACCACAAAACTGCTTTTGTGGTTTTCGAACAAATGAGAGGACACGGAAAATGACAAATATATGCGAATTCGAATGGATAGATAATAAAAAAATTAAATTAACTTATTTAATGCACTGACATTTTGGTGTATTAACAAGGATGAGGATGCGGATTTTTATTCGATGACAAGTAGGAGTAGACATCAAAAAGAAAACGGTTTTTAAGTTAGGAAAAAGCTTATTGATTTTTTAAAAAAATATCAAAAGTTAGACATAGATACTTTCATCCGGAGGTTAAAGAATTCGACCTAAAATATACATAAATTGAAACGATGTTCAAATCAATAACTGATGAGTATTGTTGGTCTAGAAATCCGTTTTTAAGAATTAAATTATAGAATTGATTTTTTCAAGTGATTCCGCCATTGAGTATCATTTATTACTTCAATTATTTTGTTTTCCAATATAGTAATAAAAAAGATCTCCTTTAATTAAAATTCCCCATATGTCTTCAACTAACTGACCCACCAATTGCAAATCCATTAATGATCCTTTCCTCCACATATTCTCCGAAGCAAATCCCTAATATACATAGAAAATTAAATACAACCGAAAAAATTAACCAAAATTAATTTGAAGCCTGTATCCCAAACTAATTAAAAGATCCAAATAAAAAGGCATTAATATACAACAAGAATTAGGCTTATTACAAGAAACCACAAAAGGAAACACAAAATATACTTTAGCCAACAAAAAAGAAAAAAATTGGAAAGGAGCAACAAAAACTACCAACACGAACACACATTCAAAGAAAGTTATAAACATTTACCACTTAACTTACAACTGCTTAAATCCATTAACAGTCCTACTTTGTTTTCGAGAGACTTTCAATGATTTGTTGGTGTTATTGTTGCCACAGCTACTTTTGATACTCATTAAAGCCTTATGAAGTCATCAAGGACTCCTGTCATTTGGACTCCTGCTAGGAATAATTTGTAATCACCCATCAGCCTTCGCCCAGCAATAGCAACAACATCAAAACATTAGCCAAACCTCAAGTGGTCATTAGCCGTGGCAATAGTGAGCCACTGGGTGGGAGCTGAGTGCCTGGCTGGAGTGGAGTGGAGTGGAGTGGAGTGAAGTGGAGGAAATTGAAATCATACTAAAGTTGAGTCATTAAGACTGTCATTTGCCTTGAACAAGGTGACATTTAATTTGTTCGTAGTCTTTCTTTTTTTCCTCCTTTTTGGATAAATACCGCAAAAACATTTGATTATATGTTTCGTTCATTCCTGTTCTTGTTGTTGTCCTTGTTGTCGTTGTTGCTCTGTTTGATATTAATGATATCAATTTATTTGTCAAATGTTTCCTTTTTTATTGGCATAGTCATAAAATCAACATTTCTTCCCATCGGGGTGTTTGTGTAATGAAATCGATGGAGAGTTTTGAAAGAAGAACACTCGAAATAGATTACAAACTGGACTTTAGTATTGCATACTTTAAAGGGAAACTAAATGTGTTCAATGCTGCGTATACTTGTTGTAAGAAATAAAAAGTATACGCGCATATTTCCAATGCTAGAGATTGGTTGTCTGCAACATTGAAAACGTCGATGGAAATATAGAAAGTCGTACTATTAAAAAAAATAGTTTACTTAATTTGGGAATAGTTACATATTCAACTTTTTACAGGTGAATCTGTGTAAGAAAACAGTAAAGTTGGGCTGGGCCGACTTTATGATACCCTACGCCACTTTGCATATATAGTAGAGCTAAATAATTTTTAATGGGAAATTTATGAGAATTAAAGCATATCATCTATGGTCGTTAAACCAGTTATAATTTAAAGCCAAAAGGAACTAATGTTTGGCAGGCTTCTATCGTATTCTACTAAATTTGACGGAGGCATTTGTGTCAGATGATATTAAATTTTATCAATTTTTTAAACACAATAAACGTGAAATCGGATGAAGATATATATGGACGTATATCCAAATCTGAACCAATATCTATAAAACCTAGCAAAGGTATTTCTATTCTGTATCTGATAGTTTGTACCAAATATCATTGTTGTGAAGAGTATTTTACGGTTGTAAGGGAACTCGAGTAAAAATTTTATCACAAGTTCATATGTAATTAGTATTTTTTGCTGGCTTGCGCCCGCATCAATCAATTGGAGTGTTTTAACATATTTTACAGTGCAGTACTTTTCGTACCCTTAAAATGTGGTGTTCCAAGACCCAACATATTTAAACTCTTTACTAAGCTTTTATCGATCGCCTAACTCAACAACAGTCCTTTCAGTACGAATTTTAAAAATACAACCTTATATCCGCCTGTATTCAATATTGTAAAGTTGTAGCTCAGACTGAACGCTGTATCCGATAAGGCCGCACAATTTCGCCCTAATTTTGATTTTTAAAAATCTCACCAAAATTCAACAATCATTCTAACTTTTAAAAGTTCAATCTTCTATCGATCCCTTAAAAATTACTTTGCACATTTCGTAATTTTGTTACGATACGCACCATTAAGGAGAATTTAAAAAACCGTCCTTATCACATCCTCTCTAAATAAAATTTACTTCTTGCTAAATTTTAAAAATTCATTTCAATTACTCAATAACAATGTTGTACCTTTTAGTACCTTTTGTTCACTTGGAGTACGGATGTCCAAACAACTCGCATTATCCTAACTCACCAAACCAAGATTGATCCAGACGCAAATTCCAAATTTCAAAGTCCTAGCTGGTTTTGGTGACTTTATAACAATTTTGTACCGTTTCTTACCTTTTATATGTACTTTTCGTTCCATTTATGTATACATTTTCCAAAAATTTTGGCTTATTTTATATCTTTTCACAAAGAGTTTTTCTTTCTCGAACAAATTATCAAACATTCAGCTCTTAACAACAATGTACCCAAAAACCCCGCCTCATCTCAACCATTATCAACATTTTCAAAGTTTTAGCCTTCCTCAAACGCTTAGTGCCAATTTTGTAACTTTGAGTATTTTTCGTACCCATAATTGAAAAACTGATTTGAAAAATCTCCCTTTATATCAAACCCGGTTTATGAAGGGTAACCACTAAACAAATATATAACAAGTAAAAAGCAGTTATGCTCGGTCGGACTGAACTTTTTATACCTTCCACCATTTGGAAAAAACTTGAAAAATTTCCAAAAAAAAAAAAATCTGTCGAAAAATGGCGAACTTTATATACGAAATTGGAAATAATTCCGGTGAATAATGTCACAAGAACCATGGAAATACCGAATATGTGGAGGTACCGTTATATGGGCGCTATACTAAAACGTGGACCTATTTAGACAATTCTCTTCTAAGGGGTAAAGTACTCAGAAGAAACCCCTTGTCTGGATTTTAAGGCAATTCCATTGACTCACATCATAAAAATACCGAATATCAGGGGGTACCGTTATATGGGGACCATATCATATCGTGGACCTATATAGATAATTCTCTTCAGACAATTTCATTGACAGAAAATTTCACTGAAAAATGTGGCTAAAATCATAAAAATACCGAACATCGGGAAGTGCCGGTATATGGGGATAAACGATGTCGTGAACCTATATAACCAATTCTCTTTAAGGGGGTAAAGTAGTTACGAAGAACTCTTGTGTAGAATTTCAGATAATTTAATTGAAAAATGTGGCTAAAAACATCAAAATAACGAATATCGGGCGTGCCGTTATATGGGGGCTATACGATGTCATGGACCAATATAGCCCATCTTCGAACTTGACCTGCTTTAATTTATGTTTAGGTATAGTTTCGGAAAAATATAAATATAATAAAGAATTCTATTTTTTCAGATGAGATTTGTAACATTTCGTTCACATTTTTAAACCGAATTCCCGGGTTCTCATTTTCTTTATTTTTATTTCTTTTTATTTTTCCCCAATTTCGATTTTTTAATTTTAACACTAATTTGGGTAAATGTGGAAATTACTCATTCTTTAAAATTTCCCAAGAAAATTTCAATGAAATTCCCAGCCCATATTTCATTACATTTTGCGAATGGCTTTAAAATTGACAAAAGGAAGTTTAAAACAAATATGAAAACCATTTCAAATTTTGTAATAGATACCGTAGATCAATTTCATAAACATTCCAAATATCTGGTCGGTCACTTCATTACATTTCAGTAAATGCAACAAAAAATTGTCCTGTGATACAGGGAATGGGCCAATAACAATTGCACGCAATAATAGTTTATTGTTTTTCTCTATTTTCTCTCTAAACCTAAGTATAACGTCCTTGACTATAACTGCCCCAAAATGTCCATCATAGGTCATTTAAAGCTCATAGCCCACACAAACAGAAAACAACAACCACAACCACAACAACACAAATACCAATCTATTTTCTTTATTGTTTTGTCAATTTTGCCTTTGCCTTGAGGCAATACTTTGGTTCTTGTTCTACATTTTGATACGAATTGCAAATTGTCCTTTCTCCTTCTTTTGTGGGCTTTGCAGGCATGGCCTTTTTCTTGGCTCTTCTTTGGTTTATTGATTGTCGATAAGTGAGCTGGTTTGTCGTAGAGTATTGGAGTATTGCAAAATGATATTCTCGTTTGGTCACCTCTCCTTCTCCTCCTCCTCCTCGAGTGACTAGTTTGATTTTTGCCTAAAATCAAATAGAAACGAAATTATGTCCTTTTTCTCCTCCTCCTTGGATTTTGGTAGAATCAAAGTTTTATGTACAAATCATTTTTCATAATAACTTTATGTTATTCTGCTTTTGGTGTTCTTCTTTTATGGTCCCGGCGCAAAGAGGATTGGAAATGGTTTGAATAGATTTATTTTGATTTTATTAGAGAAACGCGTTGTGGAGGCCAATGGCTCAGCCAGCCAACCAACCAACCAGCCAACCAACCAACCAGCCATCTTAACAATGGCACTTGCCAACTATTGGCAGCAGCACTCTCATGCTCTACCTCCCTACCCTGGTATGGCATGGCCTTAAGCCCCTGGCTGAGAGGGAGTTTTCGTGTTTTTTTTTTTTTTCTTTTCTTCTTTTTGGCTAGAACATTTTTATAGCCCTATGCCAAGCGGCGGACATAAAATGCTGCCATGGAGACGCGTCTGCTTGGCGTCTCCCTGAGATAAGGCCTTTTATTTGATGCCAGCATTCATTGTTTGTAACCAACGCAAAAGACACGAGACATTTAAACAAATAAATTGTAATTGTATGAGTGTGAGTGTGCTCGTGTATGTGCTGGGCCAAAAGTAATGACAATAACCTCCACAACTCACCAAGAAATGGAATTTAAGAACTTGCAAATTGGCCCAAACATTGTAAAACAAATATTGATTTTTATGGATAGTTTACAGAAACTCTTCCTTCGCCGATTCCTTCAATATTTTATTAATTTTATTTGCCAATCTTCTTTGCTCTTCGCTGCTCTTTACACAGTTACATCAAGGACATCGAATGGTCGCCATGCAGCGTCACATGCGGTGAGGGCATCAGGCGACGCTCGTATAGATGTAAGATTTTCTTGGAGTTTTCACGCACATTGGCCACCATAAATGATACCATGTGCGAGGGAGTCAAGCCACACGATGAGGTGGAACGTTGTGTGGAGGAGCCGTGTATGCTGCCATCGCATGGCTACGACGATCAGTATCCAAGAGATTCAATAAAAGTTGGCGTCTCCGAGCCAGGCAAAACATATGTGTGGCGTGAACAGGGTTACACCTCGTGTAGTGCCAGTTGCTTGGGTGGTGTGGAGGAGCTGATAATAAATTGTGTGCGAGAAGATAATGGACGAGTTGTTTCGCCATTCCTGTGCGCTCCCGAGACGAAACCAGAAGCCAGGGTAAGGACATGCAATGATAGGCCGTGTCCTCCGCGATGGAATTACTCAGACTACACACCCTGTTCCAAATCTTGTGGTATTGGCATCAAAACGCGTGAAGTCCAGTGCATTCATGAGGTGACAAGGGGTGGTGAAAATACCATGGTGGTGCCGAACAGTATGTGTCCTCAACCACCACCAGCAGACCGGCAGTATTGCAATGTGTTGGATTGTCCAGTGCGCTGGGAGGTGGGTGAGTGGTCGAAATGTTCCCACACCTGCGGTTATGGCTACAAGGAACGCAAAGTGGAGTGTAAACAGATTATGGCCCAGGAACATAAAATCGAAAGACCCGAGTCCATGTGTCCCAGTGCCAAGCCACCAGATAAGAAACCCTGCAATATAAAACCATGCCCACCGGAAGATCCCAAGCCAATAATACAAATCAGCAATACCACCCACATACAACATGATCCGAAGAAATCAAAAATCACCCTCAAGGTGGGAGGAGCAGGTGTGGTCTTCTTTGGTACCCAGGTTAAAATTAAATGCCCTGTTAAGAGGTACAATCGCACGAAAATAAAGTGGAACAAGGATCACAAACCTTTGGTGAAATCAAGGAAATTCAAAGTCTCCAAAAAGGGGGCTTTGCGTATACTGGATATAACATTCCGTGATGCGGGGGTGTATTCCTGTCATGCTGGTCTTAGTAGTGCAGAAATAACAATTGATGTCAAGGCCAAGCCAGGCCAAAGGCCGGAGGATTTGGAGAGGCATGAATCAGGTGAGAGAGAAAATTATTGAAGGTGTACTTCAAATTAATTCACATTTAATTTTATTTGTTTTTAGATCGCCTGGTGCGTGAGAAGAGTGGTACGGAGCCTTTGACGGCGGCCGATATGACGGCTGCGGAAAATAAGTAAGTATACATTTGATTTGTTATTGGTGGTGATTCAATTTGTTAATTGCTTAGGTTTGGAGTATTCTCCCATTGGCTTAATCTTATTCTCTTTATTACAGAGAGTAATACTTTTCGTTTTAAACAAATACTCTCTTTAATATGGTGTTAGCCTATATAAGCTTGGTTTTTAATTTAAAATATATACTTTTTGACTAAGTATGGAGAATTCTCCCATTGGCTAACACCATATTAAAGAGAGTATATATATACTCCATATTAAAGAGCTTATATATCTAACTTCTAACCCAACTCCTTTTGGCCAACTGTTCATAAAAAATCTCTTTAAAGCTCAACAGCTTAGATTTCCATTTACCAGATCAACTGAGAGTATCTGTGTTTGTTTTCCCATTGCTTACACAGAATAATTTAATCTTCTTAGCCACTTTCATAAATAGGTCATTCCTTTTAGCCACATTAAAACACTACTTCAAGAAATTCTTTAAAGCCAATAAAGCAATGAGTTAATAGCTCACCACTTGGCCATATGCATTTCATTGTTGGTCGAAAGCATTCTAAGGACACCACACCATACTCATCTACCGACACATACACATTTCTTACATCCCCAACTACTTACGTGTTGTCGGTGAAATCCTGGCAGAATCCAATCTCATCATACATCATGTATTAGCTGTATTTTTCTCCGTCTGCTTTCTATGTGTGCGATGGCAAGATCTAGTCAAGCTTTTCATTTAATTGCAAACACAGAAATATACATGCATACATACACACATACGTATGAATACATGTGTGTGTTGGTCCATGAGATTATAGTTATGGCATTCGTATTGGTGTAAACTACATTTTTAACGTTACATTTCATTTGATTTTATATTTTCATACGGTTTGTGATTTTCATTTCCTTTCACTCTTCTCTTCCAGCACCCAGACCACACGTCGCAAACAGCAACAGAATGCCAGAGAACGCAATCGTCGTCCCAAATCGGATGGCATACAACAGCATGCGGACAGCAGTATTATGGGCGATGAGGTGAGTCAATTGGTTTTATTTTCAACAGATTTTTTTTTCGATTTTCTCTTTTGAAAACTTCTCTTCACAGCCAAAGAAATTTAATTCTATGGGAAAATATATGCATTTATCCCACGATGTGGATAATGACTTTTTTTCAGCCAGTAACATGGAAAATGTTACTTACCAATCTATGATAATCACAGAATGTTTTGTCCTCCATTGGGGATAATTTTAAATGCAATTTTAATTTTACTCACTAACATTGCTGGATAAATTAATGAAGCAATGTGAAAAATTTAATTCACCAATGTGGATAATTTTATTCACCAACGTGGATAATTTTATTTACCAACGTGGATAATTTTTGTCAACAAACAGGGATCATTTTATCCTCTAATGTGGATAATTTTATCAAATAGCACCTAAAATTTTATTCACTGTCCATAATTTGATTTTTGTCCCAAGTGGATAATTTTATCCACCAACGTGGAAAATTTCATTCACTAACGTTGATAATTTTGTACACCAACGAGGACCATTTTATGTACCACCGTGAATAAAATTTACCACCCACTTGGATAATTTTCTCCACTAATTTAGAACATTTTATCCATGAGCGTGCATCGTTTATCCATTATTGTGGATAATTTATCCGCCACTGAGGATAGTTTTATCCACCACCTTGGGTAGTTTTAATCGTAAGCGTGGATATTTCTACCTACCAAGGTGAATAATTTTATTCTCCACTGAGGATAATTTTATCCATTTACGTGGATAATTTTATTCATCAACATGGATAATGTTATCCACCACAATAGGTAGTTTTATTCTTCAAAATGGATATTTTTATCTACCAACGTGGTTAGTTGTATTCGCCATTGAGGATATTTGTTCCACCACTGTGGATAGTTTTATCCAATAATGTGGATAATTTTATGTGGAAAATTGTATTCAATAACATCTGTAATTATAAATTAATCCACCAACGTGGATAATTTTGTTTTCTAACGTGGATAATTTTAATTTATCAAAAAAATGTGGCTAATTTTATCCACCAATGTGGATTTTTATCCAGTAACCTCTATAATTTTATTCACCGTGGATAATTTTATCCAAAGTGGATAATTTTATCCACCACTGTGGATAGTTTTATTCCTAAGCATAGATATTTCTATCTACCACCGTCGATAATTTTATTCACCGCTGAGGATAATTTTATCCAATAACGTGGATAATTTTTTTCACCATCATGGATAATGTTATCTACCACTGTAGATAGTTTTATCCGTCAAAATGAATATTTTTATCTACCAACGTGGAAATAGTTTTTGCCATCAAGGATAATTTTTTCTACCACTGCGGATAGTTTATTCACCAACGTCGATAATTTTATCCACCAACGTAGATAATTTTATCCACCAACTTGAATAGATTTATCCGCCAATGTGTTCATTAACGTGGATAATTTGAATTGTATCCAATAATGTGGGTAATTTTAATTAATACGTCCAAAGCAGATAATTTAATCCCCCAACGTGGATAATTTTTTTCCAATAACAACATTTTATAACATTTATTTACAGAATTTAAATTTTATCTAAAGTGGATAATATTATTCAACGACATGGATAATTTATCTACCAACGTGGATAATTTTATCCATTAACGTGGATAATTTTATCTACCAACGTGAATAATTTTATCCACCAACGTAGATAATTGTATCCACTAACGTGAATAGATTTATCCGCCAACGTGGATAATTTTATACACCAATATCGAAAATTTTATCCATAACTTCTATAATTTTATTCGCCGTGGATAATTTTAATTTTATCCAAAGTAGATAATTTCATCCACCACTGAGGTTAGTCTTATCCGTCAACATGGATAATTTTATCAACAACTGGGGTTTTATATCTACCACTATAGATAATTTTATCCACCAACGTCGAAAAATAATTGTATCCGCCAACTTCGATAAATTTATCCACCAACGTGGATAAATTAATACATTTACGTAGATAATTCCATCGATCAAGGAGTATATTTTTTACCCAGTAACTTAAAACATTTTATCCACCAACGTCGACAGTTTTATCCACCATCGTGTATAGTTTAATCTATAAAAGTGGCTGATATTTTCCATCACAATGATTTCATCCTCAGTTTTAATTTCACACGGATCTGCTCACATCTACATCTCTTCAAATTTTGTTTCTCTTTCCAATTAACGATGCTGGTTCATTACAATATTCTAATGTCGGAAGTTAATTTTAAGAATATATTTCCAACAACAACAAAGAAAAATTTTGTAATAGTCCTTAAAAATATAACTCTCAACATCATTTCATACCTTATGACATAAGTCAACAAATCCTTCGCAATGAAATGCTATACTTTATCAAATGTTTCAATGTCATATTCTTGGCTGTCTACTACATCTTTTATGTTGTCTATATATACCATCATATGTCTGTCGTCGCATACGTACAACTATGAACTTAGATCTGTTATATTGGAATTGCGAAAAAAAAGAATCTTATACGAATTTCCATGGCATTGAAGCTGGCCAAAGATATTTGTATGCCACCCTTATTGTTGTTCTTCTTATTTGTCAAGTAAAGGTTTCTCTCTTCCTCTTCATTTTGAGTATTTCCTCGTATGTTATTTAGTTTTATTTTCAAACCTTTCAAAAAGGATAAAAATAAGGCAATATCCCCCCGCAAGAGAACGTGGAGTTTCCGTGTTTTGGTATTTTCTTGATATTGCATTTCATGCCCTCAAAAAAAACTCTCCATTTTCGGGTTGCACGTAATGCACACAAAGTTCGTTTTATCGCACAACAACGAAAGCGAAATATGACAACAATATTTCTCTCTCTCACTCTCTCTCTCTCTCTTTTCTTTGGAGATGATGTGGGTGGTGACGATAATCCTCTTATTGCTCCATATAAATATAAGTTGATGTGTTGGGATTTTGTTGCACTCATATACATTTGCGAGTTGAGTTGTCTGACCAACAACGACCTCGTGGAAAATCGCTGTCCTCAATTTGTTAGTTATTTCACATTGCAATTTGCCATATCCTTTTGTCCACTCTTTTTGGTCATTTAAGCATTTAAACATATCTCTGAGAAACTCATTTTTATTAGAGTTTTCCACAAAATTAACGTGGTTATCTCGATTATATTTTCCCTCGAAAAAAAGTTTTTCCACAACGTTTTGCTCCCCAGTTTGTTCTTGTGCATTTTTCCATTTTTTTTTTTTTTTTTTTTTTTTGTTAGCATAGCACAAATTTGAACAAACATACTCAGCCCTAATATGGCTTGTTAAATATAATTGTATTAAACAAGTTTTTAATAAAGAGGGAGAGAAAAATGATAGGAGTTTAGATGTGTTGAGCTTGAAAAGAAATAAAATGCATAGAAATTGAAAATAAAAATGGACAAAATTCAAATGTACATTGACCTTGTCAATGAAATTCTAGAGCAAATATAGTGCGATTAGTTCTTGTTCCTTAGATTTTACAGTATATACATTTTTCTGGAAATAGAAAAAATATACTTATATTGGCGCAGTATTGTACCTTTTTGGGTCCAAACAGATTTTCTATTTGAGTTCTCCCAGTCAATTCTCCGTTCGGTACTTTCTGTATTATTTTGGGTACGTCTCGGTCTCATGATCCCATAGCGCTCGAGATATATTCCCTATTTTTTGGTTCCTATATCTAGTTGTTCTTTTCAAAAATGTTTGGCCATAATCGAAATGCACCTCATCATTAAATAAAGCGGAGGGCTGACTGAAAGATCGCCAGCGATATTGAAGTTACGCCATTTGTACTTCACTATCATTCGCATTTGAACACTACAATCTTCCAGTTGGCTCTCCGGGTGAGATAAAAAAAAAAACTGTAACAAAGTCTAACGCCATAATTTTTACATTTTTATTTTAATTTTATTGAATAAAAGCAAAAAATATCGGAATTACCATCTAATTTTAGAATAAGTTTAGATTTGTTCGAATTGGTCACCTTTGGTACGAATTATGGCCTTCAAACGGCCAATGAAATTGTCACACGCTGCTCTGCAGTATTTTGGCCCCTCCCTGGCAAATCGATTGCTTGAGGCGATCGACATTTTGGTATTTTTTAGTGCCGACCTTGCTTTCGAAACTACTACAGACACAATAATCCAACGGATTGGTATCCGGAGATTTTGGTGGCCATTGTGCGCTGGAAATGATGCGAGGAACCTAATTTTGTACCATTCTTGGGTGGCGCGTGCTGTGTGCGATGGCGCTGAGTCCTGTTGGAATGTCCAAGGTCTGCGGCCAAAATGTTTCCGTGCCCAAGGCTTTAATACACCTCCAGAATACTTTCGCGATAATATACGGCATTTATTGTGATGCCACAACTATCGGCTGTTATGGCGGCCCACGCCATCACCATGGCCGGCGCTTGAGTTCTGGTGGCCAACCGAAGCTGTACATTTTCAGCTGACCTCTTTGGCAAGTAAACACGATCATTTGCTTGTTTACAAACTGCTGGACAACGAATGTTTTCTCATCGGAGAAAACCGAATTCGGCAGTTCATCATTTTCGGCCACTTCGACGCGGGTTTCGATCAAGTCGCTTCTTTGCTTTTCGAACCATTTATGCTGATGTTGCTGTTTTCTTCCGTACGCTTCCTTGACGTCGGGCTACGCTACAGCATCACGGTAACAAGGGATGGTACGAGACACAAAAGATTGATTCACATTTAAATGCTGGAGTGCTCTAACGATAGCCACTCGTGGTTTTCCAGCCAAATATAAAGAAATCACACTATCACGCTTGAATTCCATCACGAATAACTTTTTTCTGGAAAATTCTCACCAAAATGCTTTTGTACGCTTGTAAACAATATAATCACTGGAATAATTTTAACAGCTGTCGGGCTACTGGCTTAGGTGTCTGAAGTTGGTTGCAGTTTTTTCATCTCACCCTGTAATCATTTCGAACCATGGCCTAGAAACTCCTAACATTTTTGAGAGGGACAGCTAGACTTCTGTAAGCCTCTAGAATATTCAGAAGCACCTAATGATCACAGTGATATCATTCTTATGATATTGCAGTATAGATGGCATTCTGACATCCATATACAGATGGCAATAATTTTTATAAGCTCCAAAATTTTTAAGAGTTTTCAGATCACGATATTTTTTTGTAAACACGATAACCAATTTTAACTGTTTTGAATGTTTAAAATACTAACTACATCTTATTACGAAGAAACAATTAGCTGAATATCCCAGTGATCACATGTTTAAATTTAAGTATAGATGGCGTCCGTTTCATAAACTTCGTTTATATTTTTCTTTTTATTCTCTTAATAACCATCGTATGTTACACCCTTATCTGGATGTCGAACAGAATTTCCACATCTTCTCAAATCTAGGTTTATATGAATTCGAAATCCAATTAAACGGATGTCGAACAGAATTTCCACTTCTTCTCAAACCTAAAAGGTGTAACCTCTATTAATGTACTCTTCTTAATTCAACAATTGAGTGTCCTTCTTCGACACCCAAAACAAGCAACAAGTGTTCGTTCAATAGGCTGAAACAGGAATATTTAAGTCAATTAACATTTTAAGTGGCCAAACAGTGTTGTTGGCCATTAATGGTTGGCTTGGACCTCAATGGATATAGCATTTCAAGTGGACTCTCTAAAAATCAAGTTTAGCGAACAGAGAAAAAAAACAAAACAACGAGGCCTATAAAAGGCCAACATGACATTTTAATTTATATTCTAGCTGTTATTTTGAAATAAACCTGGCCAAAGCTAAGCGCCAACAGTTGGCAAACAATTACAATATAAATATTCAAAAAGATACTCATGTTTTGTTTTTGTTCTTTTTCTTCTCTTTCTCTTTCCATTGCTGCCTTTTCTTATTCTTTACTCCGTGTGTTTTTTGGTGGCTTTTGACAATTTACCTTACTGCGGGCGCCAATCTTTTTATGTTTTTTCCTGTTTTTACTCTAGCATTCACATTTAGTCCAACAGGCCCAGGATGGTTTGCCTCAACCGAGTGCCAGCAGTGGTAGCAGTCGTCGCACCAATGCCTTGTTGGCCATGCCATATTTCCAGGCTTTACTAAGTAATCTACAGGTGAGGTATTCCGCAATGCTGTAATACAAAGTACACAACAACAACAACATGCCATACCCAACCCGACCCAACCAGGCCAGACCAGATCCGGCCAGGGCACAGGACATGGATCCTGTGTTAAATAGTCATGTGTTTTTTGTGTCTTGTTTCCCTTTTGTTTGTTTATTTAGAACATTGTGTTGTTGGTTATTTTTTCTTGGTATTTATGTTTTTTTCAGTTTCCTTTTTTTTCTGCGCCAACTATCAGCCAGCCTTTTGCCGTTTGGTCTCGAGGCTTTTTTATTTGAATTCCTTAATCCTGTGGCTCTGATGATAATGTTAATGTTATATTATGGCTGCTTTTGTTAGTTTGTAACTTATTCATTTGTGTTGTTTTTGTTCTCATTCCCTCATCCCGTTTCATCCTTTTGTGTGCATATGAATAGCGTAAAATAGTGAATCCTATTTCTGAATGGATGTTTTTACGCTTCTTTGTCTTGTGGGTGTAAAATTTCAGTTTCCTTTTCTTTTCAACTATTCTGTTGTGTGTGTGTGTGTGTTTTTTTGTTGTTTTTGTATGAATGCCTCAGAGTGTACTTTTTGTTGTCATATTTGTTGCACTTTTCTTTTTTTGTTAATGTCGCTTCCTTTATTCGGCTACTGAAGTATCCTTTTGTATCCTGGCAAACCCCAACAACGTTTGTTCTAGCCTCGATATTGTCTTTTATGTCATTCATATCATTTGTCATGATAGCTTCCCTTTTTTTTTGTTCGTTTTTTGATTTTGTCATTCGTGCAGTGCTGCAAACGACGATGACACGACACATCATTATGATTTCCTTGCTTGTCCTCACTTTAGATTAGTTATTTCCTAAGATCCTACACCATATGCATGTTACTTCTGGAGAATGGAGTTACTCCTTAGGAGTTTGGGAAAGAATGTATTTAAAATTAAAAACATATTTGGTAGAGACTCGTCGATTGTTATATGCCCTCCAGCTAGAGCCGCCGACAACAAAATATGATGAAACCGTGATATAAGTCTTCAAAAAAGGGGGACCGGACATAACCTCCAACGACAGCTCCAAAATTATTTTCTGGCGCCCAAACCGGTCATTTGGCCAAAAATGAAACTTCTCTTTGTAAACGCCTAAACTTTGATCAAAAAGCCCATTGGGCACTTATTACTTATAGATGACGCTCGAAAAAAGCCATGTTAAACATTAAATATCTTTTCGGAATTTTTATAAATTAAAAAAAAATATAAACCTTTGCACTTCCAATTTATTTAAGAATATAACGACCGGAGTAACGTATTTTAAAGGCTTAAAAGGCTTTTCATTATTTATTAGAACGAAGCTCCAACTGATATATATTATGTCCAAATTCAAATTATATTCAAGTAAAAATTGTGTTCAAATTCGTAATCCGTTTTACATATTTTTTTGTAATTACGGCGACCAGCTACTAGTTTTACAAACGTTTAAAACTACAACTTTTTACTGCGAAAAAATAATTAAAGATCTCAAAAATAACGTACAACTTACATTGAAATACAGATGGTGTCGGCTTCCTAAGCTTCGTATATGAAGAATTTCTATGAAGAATTTTTCCAAACAACCGCCTTATGTCTATTTTTAGAAATTGCGAAAATATTAATTAGAGATTTCAGTGATCATATTCTAAATATATGGAAGTATGGAGGACATTTTGACATTGAAGTATAGATGGCGTCAATTTCTTTAACCCCCCAAAATTTAAGAGTATTCAGGTCACAGTTCCTCCCAAAAAAACTTACGAGGAATCAATTTTAAGATATCTCATCCAAACAGTATTGAAGTATACATGGCGTTCATTTCGAATGCTTCATATACATCTATGCAGAATCAAACAGCCGCCGTATGTTCATCTTGGAAACTATGCTTACCCAGATTTTAAGCTTCTACCGGACAGATAACGTTGTACAGTTCGCAATTTAAGAGAGATGAATTTTAATGTCCCGCTAACTTAGCTTAATAGAAAAAACCGAGAACATTTAGGAGTTTTCAAGTACCGATTTTTATGAATTTAAAAACTATATTGAGTTGTAAACACAACCCACATTTTATATGAACAAAGGGCTTAATGGGAGATCTCAGTGATAATATTATTTTTATATTTTATATTGAGAGAAGCTGTCCATTTCCCCAAACGTCAAGAATTTTATGATTTAAGGTGTGGGTACATAAGCATCATGGCTAGGAATATTAATGTCAAATTATAAAATAAAATAAAACGACTTCAGGACTCGATTGTGGCTCCTGTATCATGATATGTCACAAAATATGCCTTGCAGACTTCAAGCTGCTTATGTGCCCACAATTTTAAGCTGTTTTGATTTGTTTAAAAATAAAATATATTGACCCTTCGCGGAGTCTAGTTTTTAAGTTTCTCCTGGGAGGACAATGTTTTAGTAATCAGATCGCAGAAGAAGGCTAACAATTTTTGGAATTTTCAGGCACATATTTTTATGAATATACTATTATATGGGAGATCTCAAACTTATGATATGAAATATAGATGGCGTTCTTTTCTGTGACGAATTTTCAAAGCATCTGCGCCTTGGAATATATTAACCCTCATAAACACAAATAAACTCGCCTACGAAAGCCAGAGAATAATTAGCCTTGCTATAAAATCTTCCAAACTTTCAAGGGAATCCGTTTGGTTTTTTTTTTATATATGACGCCAAATTTGAGGTGTTAGGAAGGTTTGATTAATACTTAAACAGATATTTTAAGGAAGCCCACGTGTCCTACAGCAGAAAAAATAAGTAAAAAGCAGTAAGTTCGAATACCCTCCACCATTTGGAACCAATTTGGAAATTTCAAAAAAATTAAATCTGTTAAAAATTCGGTTAAAATCTTAAAAATACCGTATATAGCCGTTAGTCATTGAAAATTTGGTCCATACGAAGACGTGGACCTGAATAGGCAATAAGTCATTACAATATTCAAATACGAAAATTGAAAAAAATAGGTGAATAATGTAGCTAAAATCATCAAAATACCGAATATAGGGAGGTACCGTTATATCGGCCCGAAGACCAGGACCAGCATGGGCAATTTTCTGTCACAGACAATTTCGGTGAATATTGTACCTAAAATCGTCAAAATACCGAATATAGAGAGGTGCTGATATATGGGACCTATACGAAGACCTGGACCTGCATAGACAAATTTCTGTCACAGGCTGTAGTATCTGTTAGGAACTTCAAATACGAAATTTTAAGCAATTTCGGTAAATGTTGTAAATAAAATCGTCAAAATACTGAATATAGGGAGGTGCTTATATATGGGGCCTATACGAAGACCTGGACCTGCATACACAATTTTCTGTCATAGACTGTACTTCCCATTAAGAACTCTAAATACGAGATTTTAGACAACTCCGGTTAATAATGACGCTAAAATCATCGAAATACCGAATATAGGCTGTAGTACCCATTACGAATTCTAAATACGAAATTTGAAAAAACTTCAGTGAATAATGACCCTAAAATCGTGAAAATATCGAATATCGTGAATATGGGCAATTCGATATCGTGGACATAAATAGACATTTCTCTTCCAGGGTCTAAAGTACTCATAAGGTACTCCTTTTGTGGATTTTCAGACAATTTCATTGAAAAATTTGGCTACAATCATCTAAATACCGAATAAAGGGGGGGGGGTATTCGGGGGCTATACGATATCGTGGACCGATATAGTCCATCTTCAAAGTTGACCTGCCTGCAGGCAAAAGACTGATATATGCACAACTTTAGCTTCATATCTTTATTCGTTTTGACTCTAGCGTGAATACAACAGACGGAGAGACGGACAGAGTTAAACTGTCTTAGAATTTTACCCTGATCAAGAATATTTTTACTTTGTTATGTCCAAAATTATTATTTCGATGAGTTACAATCAGAATGACGAACTTATTATACCCTCCATACTATGCATGGTGTAGGGTATAAAAATTATTAAAATAATAGGTCAAATTTAGATCTTTTTTTCTATGAATTCAAATTTTGAGATCAAATGTTGCTTCATCGTATAAATAACCCCAAGGACCCAAGTGTATTTTGCCAGGAATGGAAAGTCTTTACCGAAAACATCATGATTTAGAGTTTAAGTATTTGTTTTATAACTCACAAGTATCTCCACATGCAATGGTGTAGCGATTTGTTAACTTCGCAGGATATCACCTAACAACCATATATCCTCGTCCGTGTCGGTCGTCGTGTTGTCGGTACACAATCATTTCTCATTTATTATCGCCATTGTTCTCGTCTGTCATCAGTTTTAGTTTAACACTTCCTCATTTTTGTAGCCTTTTGTCACGACGATTTGTTGCTTCCCTCTTTTTCTTCTTCTTCTTCTTCTATATACATATATATTTTTTTTAAATGTTCATTTTTTTTGGTTTGTTTGTAATACTCATGCAATGTTGTTGCTTTTGTTCCTTTTCCACTTAGGTTGGCTTATAACAATAGCATTACACCTGCAACATCCCCTCGCCGCCATGATATGACTTATCTTTGTCTCCCTCCATGTATTTTTGCTTTTGTCTTTTTGCAAACCCCAAAACGTTTTGTATGCTATTCGGCACTAATATGAAATGCAGCACTTTAAGACACCTTCACTTCCGTACGTTGTTATTGTTCTTGTTGTTACTACACCTTTTGTGCGAGGTGAGCTTTTTTCTCAATGTTATTTTTTGTTATTTTTTACTGCAATTGTATGACTTTGTGAAATCATTGTTTCCATTTAGAGTAATTGCAAATCGCCATTCATTCGTTTGCCTAGATTAATTATAAACATTTTTTGGATTTTGTAAAATTGCCTCGATTCATTTTTTTTTTTTTTTTGCATAATGAATGACTCATTCTTTTAATTCATTTAATTTGTTTTCATATTTTATTTATCATTGAACAAACATACATACATTGATTCGAACACCACCACAACATCATTCAATTCCATAAATCTCCAATT